AAGCTTGGCCTTATTTTATAGTGAGATATCTCATCTTATTTTTAACGGAGACGCTTTGTTCCGGCGATAAAGGTAAATTACAGAACTTTTCCTTTACCCTCGCCAGCACGGCCAAGCTAACAACTTCTACACACCGCCAAGCAAAGTTTAAAAGAAAGTACGAGAGTGTAAACTAGCACAACATGGGTTAAGTCTAGAACAACAATGCGTATTAGTCTAGGCCTTAGAAAACTTTGAACTTTTCCAAGAAACTGCGAAAAACTACATATCACTTAGACTCTCTCTGCGCTCGATCTGCGCGCACGTTTTATATTACTTAAGGTAGCTCATGTGGCTTAGTATTTTAGATTCTGTAGTGCAGAATGTTTTGTTCTTTGTCAAATCCAAAGTGAAGATATGCACTTTCTTTGAAAGGAATTTTAACAAAATTTACCGTGGAAAGCGAGTATTAAATAGGTGGGCGTTTATGCTGCGTGATATATGTTCTTTTAGCCAGCTGCGTAAAAGGATCTCAAGAGGAGAGGAGAGGAGACTACCCTCCCCTCCCTTTGGATGACTGGCTACGCAGACTAACGTACACTTACCAAATGAAGGTTTTCAAACGTGCGTGCAACATTTCCGACGTTAACCTCTTCCAGGTTAATAACCTCGGTTATTATGGACGTACTGTACAACTAACAACATTGAGCTTAATTGAAACAATTAGGGCCCTTCCGCAGTACGCAAGTCTCTGTAAAATTTGAAAAAAAATTAGTACAAAACTCTTTTTAACAAATGCAGACGAACAGTTATTTTAATCCCTGCCAAATTATGTCAAGACGGACAAAACTTCAAAAGTACGGCCGTCCTGCCTCCTAACAGGACAGATTTTGACAACAGGAACCCATTAGGGTAACGAGCTCCTGTGTCAACCATAAAAATCTGACAGATAAGTGCCTAAAGGTTTTTATAATTGATTAACCAGTTCACGTGAATTTTACGAGGTGAAATTGACAGCTCGTAGTTGGCAAATCACATTTTTTTGTTTTTTAGGTGCTGACCTGGGGGTGGGGGGAGAAGGGGTAGGCGATGAGAAATGGGTGAGGATGCTTGTCGTACCTTTTAGGGGTCAAAATCAGTGATCTGGTACCTTTTACGGTGTCTGAAACTTAAGTGGACTACCAGAGACGTAGTTGGTACGTTTTAGGGTGTCTTTTCGCTAAAAAAAACCCTGAAATAAGCATTACTAGGACGATTTTTGTCTTATCTACAGGGTCCCCCGGGGGATGCTGATACGTGCAGCATGCTTCAAATTTAGCAAGGACAAATTTTGATGTGATTTTTGGTGAAGAGAAACAAGTTTTGTCAGCGTCTAATAGCTAGTACGGGAGGGCCCTTTACTACTGTGTGCATAATTACGCGTCCCGCCAGACGGCGGGAAGCCAACAAAGTGTTCAGACATTAGTATAGAAAACTCCGCCTCTGTCTGGATTTTTGGTAGCCTACTGACCAATTCCCAGTCGAGACTTAAGTCTGACGGGAGGCGTAATTCTGCACACGGTGGTAGGTAGCATACTTACCGGAGCCAGGTTGTAAGAATTTTCCAGATACCTTGAGTATTATCCGTGAAACACGCTTGCCAATTCCCCTATCGCCTTTTGGAATCGACTTGACCCTGCCTTCACCATGGCCGAACACTTCTTTTGGCACTCTACATCTGCTATTGGAACCACGACTCCACCCAAAACCGAGATTTGATCTATGAGTGGGGCAAATTGTCAAATCATCGATATCTCTCGGCGTCTTGAAGATGCCGGCTCGCGACAAAATCAGATCAACTTCATTTTCAGCATCTGAAAACTTGCAAAACTTTTTTCGTAAATTGTAAAGATTTATGCCAGTAAACGGTGGCGACAAGTAGGCACCATGTATATTTCATAGTCGCTAGCAAGTATATTTTGTCCGAATTTGAGTTCGTCTCACGTTAGAACAACACAAATACACAAGGAAATTTTTTACAGTAACTTCATAACCATCCTTTTGTATTTCAAAAGCTAGAAGCTCAGTAGATTTTGTCATATCGGTCATTGTTTAAACTGTCTTTGTCTTTATGCTACTTTTCGACATAGAAAAAGGATTTCGGACAAAAATATTCACCAAAAAATAAATATTTCTTTGCCAGCTTCAATAATGACCGTGGATTAAGTTTACGAAGATCAAGCGGGGAACTGCGAATGATTTAAAAAAAAATTGGACTCGTGATTGGACTAAAATTGGACTAAATATTCTGATTATTTCATTATTTAGAAAAGTCACACTCAAGTTCCTTTATTGTTTTGAAAACAGTAATATAGCTGATATCTTCATGTTTGCCATGGGATTTGACTTTAGCGCTAATTAGTGCTCGAATTAAATTTTATAGATTGGAGTAAACAGCTAGTAGCGGCCAATTCAACCACAGCAGTCAAACACTGCGCATGCACGTGTTTTGAAAAGAATACGGGGGATTTTCAAACGCGTGTTCTGCGTAAAGTGGAGAAGGAGAGGTTAAGTTCCTAACTATTCCAAATTGAATGCGTAATACAGTTGAGAGAGGGATTTCGGAGAAAACTTAAATCTTGGTCTAAATCAAATTACAGAACCTTAATAAGTACGAGAGTGTAAACTAGAACCACATGGGTTAAGTCTAGAGCAACAAAGTGTATAAGTCTAGGCCTTAGAAACTTTGAACTTTCCTAAAAAACGGCAAAAAACTACGCACCATTTGGATTCTCAATGTCTAGAATAGCAAATTATCCATCTAAAAGCGCACGCGTAGTCATTTGACCGCTGTGTTGCTTATTTATAACTGTTTTCCGATCAAGTTGCAGTCGCTATTCGGAATAATTAAAGAAGAGATAAATGGGAAGGAGAATTGCCGAGAAAAGAACTTTACACAAGAATCAAATAAGTTGTTGCATTTTTTTTTGACAATGAAGGCACTCGTATGGTTTGCTTCTCAGCCATTTCCCCATCGATGAATAAAGTAATGGTTTAAAAGTTAAAATAAATAATGTAGAGTCGAAAGAAAAAGTAAATATGTTACGAAATTAATAATTTAGTATTTGAAGAAATTTCGTATTCAAAACGAGGCCGAGGGTGTCATGGCTGGATGATGTCTCCTCAGTTTCCTGCGTGCTTCATGTCTTAATTAATTAACCCTTTAACTCCCATGAGTGACCAAGACAGAATTTCTCCTTACAATATCAATACAAAATCAAACAGATAAGTAGTGAGAGTAAAGAAAAATATCAATTTGGGAATAATTAGTTGATCCAATAATATATTCTCTTGACTAACATTATAAGAATTGTATGACTGATAGTAAGGAGAAATACAAATTTGATCTGGGAGTTAAGGGGTTAACACACACTATTTGCTAGTTAAGATGCAGTCGCTATTCGGTTGACGCGATACAGAGAGGCTGTGTACAGTGCACTGCTGGTGCAGTTAGCGTTAGTTGTTTGTTGCGCACCAATCTATAATAAAACATATCAATCAGACTCAGTCGTTGTATGGAGAGTATCAGTTGTCTCATTTTACTTTAACTTGAAGTTATATCCGTATTTTGTTGTTAGAAAATTTGGGAAGTAAGACATGCAGTAAAACAGCCAATCAGAGAAGTATTTTGCCGTCCGTAGCGTTACCTCCTCCTCGGTTTGGTTTTGTAAGACTTTCATTAAGTCACGATAATTGTTAGGGAGCGCTCGTCAAAAATATTATTGCTTAAGCGGAGAAAATTAGAAGTTCAATGGAATCGTTGTACATCGATCTTTTGTCAATAGTCTTTTCAAAGAGTAAACGCTATTGAGGGAGTTCTGAAGTAAATGTTGCTGATGAAGGTAGAATTGAACAACTGTGCGGCGAGTTTTGATAATTCCTTAGCATACGTCCATTGATTTTCGACCACCACTTATAAATTGTTTTCTTCACTTCAGTATTAAGATGTAACTGTTGTGATGAAAGGGAAATTTTGACATTTGCCCCAGAGCATCGCAAAATTACCTGCCTTTTACACGAGAGCTTTCTTGGTACAAAAACACTTTTATTATCTCAATAACCAGACGTAGGAAGAAAGAAAATTAGATCAAAGGGTCACATAGGCTCACTTTTCCTCGTTATTGTTTAGTACTGTCTTCAATAAAGGAAGAATATTTCAATTGGGCACTCAGATGACATCTTATCTTGATGTACTGCTTATTTCATCATTTAAAAAGATGACAAAAAAAGTTTTCCTATCGTATTGTCAAACAGTAATACAACCGATGTCTATTTGTTTGTCAACGAAATTACCTTTTAGTGCTAATTTGTACTAAAACTGAAATTCTTTGAGATTAAAAACTTGTCGCAGCCCACACAAACGCCTTTAGTAGTTTGATCGGCTGCAGAAATTGAAAATTTCTGCATAAAACTCTTACTCTGTATTAAAGAATTGGATGAGTTGCTGGTTTGTCTATCAGCAGTCTTCCCGTGCAGAATTAAAACAATGAATCTAAAGTTGATATATGAATATATATAAACCTATTTTCGAAAATGTTTTGCTATTTAAAAAAACATTGTCAATAGTCTGTATAAATGTATATATTTTTTCTTTTCTCATCACAAAGTGTCTCTTTTTGATGGAATTTGATACTGATAAAGAGCGACTCTTTGCCGCATTGTAAAAACACTGAAATAACAGATGTTTCTATATTTGCCTTTAGTTGCTATTTCATAACTGAGGAACCCAAAGGTTCCCGAGGAAAAAAATTTTTTTTTGACCCAACAGAAAATTTCCTGATGCATTTTAAATAAGTAAGTCTTTATGCGACTGTTAGGTAGAAAGTTAGGCTTCAGTAGTCATTGCTGTCATTTTTCGTTGCAAGATCAGACACCCACAAGAAAAGGGAAAAGTCGACGACAGAATTATGTTGATATCAAATATCAGTAGCGGCAGAAGTCACACGAAATCATATGAAGAACTGATATGCTCTCCCTCTTTGATGGGTGGGCATCAACAACTATCAATTTGTTTCTCGGCAGTTTACATTCTCCTCTCCATCACAGCATTTGCTGGGAATTCTCTCATCCTTGTTGCCCTTTATAAAGAATCTTCCCCACATCCGCCGTCCAAACTCCTGTATCGTTGTCTGGCAACCACTGATCTGTTGGTTGGTCTTGTTGCCCAGCCTCTCTATGCTACATATTGGATGTCCGTGTTTCAAGAACATTGGAGCCGTTGTCGATACGCCAGGGATGCAGGCTACGTCACAAGCTATGTATTGATTTTAGTGTCTTTGATGACGATGACGGCCATAAGCGTGGACAGACTTCTCGCCCTGTTGTTGGGGCTGAGATACAAACAAATAGTAACTTTGAAGCGCACGTATATCATTGTAACTACCTTTTGGGTTTTTAACATTGTCGCCTCTTTATGTGGAATTTTTTATCCTAGTATAATCTATTTGTACAGCTGCCTAGTTTCACCATTTTGCCAGGTAATATCCTTCGCATCGTACACAAAGATTTTTTGCACTCTCAGAAATCATCAAGCACAAGTAGGAGACCAACAACGGACGAGCCAAACAAATGCACTGAACATGGCACGATTCAGAAAGGCAGTGGACAGTGCACTGTGGGTGCAGTTAGCATTAGTTGTTTGTTATGCGCCAATGTATACAGTGGAAATTGTGGTCACTTGCACTAACAAATACTCATTACTCTTAGTCGTCGTACGGAAAGTAGCAATTATTTTACTTTACTTTAATTCGACTTTGAACCCGTTCCTATACTGCTGGAAGATTAGTGAAGTGAGACAAGCAGTGAAGCGGACACTGAAAGAAGCTCTTTGCTAAAATAGGTCTTTCTTGAGTTGTTCATCAGACTTTCAAAGCAGGCTTATTAAGTCACGATTATTATTAGAGAGCAGTCGTTAAATAAGTTATTGGATAAAACCAAATTAGTGGCTCAATGAAATAGTTGCGCAGGCTGTTATCGATAGTCTTTATATCTCCGTGAACAATTTAACGACGGACTAAGTAACCCAGCTATGTGTTTTCAAAAATAAGGTTTCTTGTCGCTGTGCTAAAAGACAAGATGTCATAACGCAAGAAAATATATGCAAACATTTTACTGTCAAGGTTTCTACTCTTAGCAATAAGAAGGCATCAGATAAAACTTCAAAGAGTAGTTTGAGAGATGTGTTTGAGGCCGATGTTGTGTGTTACGATAAAACTATTTCAACTAGTTTTCCTATAATTAAAAGAAAGCGCTTGACGTTGATGTTGACGCAATATTGCCATAAGAGACGGTCCAGCTTCAGTCTTGAATTTGCTTTGTTATCAGAAAAATATCCGTAAAGTTCATGAGAAGAAGTTTTTGTTACTTGTATATTTAACTGAAAGTTACGAAAGTAAATGGAATAAAATTGACCATCTCTGTTTGTTCCAGAACTTTTTTATAGATCGATTGATGTTCTGAAATTATATTGGCAACAGCGAAAAACAAGTTTCGCATCATTTGCATTGAGGTCGCCATATGTCCAGTTTGTCGCTTATGTATCTTTAGCTTGTCTCTGAGTTTCACGGATTTTATTTCCTCCATTTTCTTAGTGATTAACTGCTGTCCCTAAGTTCCACATTTTTTTCTTATTGAGTCGTTTTCAAGGCTTTGTATAAGCTCAGACTTTGCTTCAATATCATATCATCTAATTATCGCCCTAAAAACGACATGTTTATTTCACCCATTAAAGAAGTGACAAAATGGATCTTTTAAGACTTAGGAGGCCCATATCGTATTGTGAAACAAAAAAAAAAATTGCCCATGTCTTTGTGTTTGTCAAGGGAATTCACTTTCAGTGCTAATTTGAAATTAAACTGAAACTTTAGTTACTGAAATCAACAGCTGGTTACAACGAACATGTTCTTGTTTAATTATCAAGCTACTGAATTATCATAAAGGATCAGAAAGAAAATTCCCTGGGAAAGAACTCTTGTTAAAGCAGGGATTGACGCATCTTTAGCGATTAAGTCTTTCGTCTGATTTTCCTGTCAGCTAATCCTCCGTTGGTAAATGAAATGATTAATTTGAAGCCGGAATAAAATATTGACTCTATAGAGAGTAATTATTTTGCAAAAACGAAATTTTTTCCAACCTAAAACGAGGCGGCGTGTCTGTGGTGGTTAACTAATTTTTCCTAATCTTTGACAGGGTATTTTCAACAATTGCTTCGTTCATCACTGTGCGCTCATTAACAGGAAGTTTGGAGAGCTTGAAAGATACGCGGGAGTTACTTAACACGCAATCGAGAGTGATCGTAGGTTCATAAATAATAAATGCTGTTTATGTAGGTTTAACAAGGTGTAGTTTTGAACTGGACATCGTCACGGGAATTATTCAATAATAATATTATTCACTTCATCTTCGGCAAATAATTGTTAAATATTTTTATCGAGTGTTGATAGTTTTTAAGTATCCATTCCTTCATTTTCCTTCTCGATCAATAGATTATCATGTTCACTTTAGCACAGTCATATAACTCTGGTTATTGGAGGAGAATTGCCAATCGCTCAGGGGAATTACGACATGAAGAATTCAGTCACTGCTGTGTACATGGAAGCGTTGGCAGAGGAAAATTTAGGCGAACTATGTTATGTAATTTTTTCCAGACTATTACTTTAAAAGTTTTGGCGAAAGGAGGAGAACAAATAGAAAATGTAAAAGAAACAACGAAAAATTGTTTAAAAAAATAATTTCCTGCTTTTCTTCTGTTTTGTTTCTCGTTTTGTCGGTATCCGATGGAACTCTGGGATTAAAATGATACCGCGTAGGGCCATCATGGCTGGTGCAAAACAATGGTTTTCCGCCTCCTCTATTTTCAGTTAGCGCCCATTTCTCTCATTTTGTTAACCAAAGGGATGAAGAAAGGAAATTACATCGTGGGACGAAATAGGAAAAATAGGCAAAACAGTTTTTGTTATTAAAAAATCATCATAACTTTACTGACGAAAGTGAAAAAGCTTGTAGAGAACGAGTTTGAAAAAATGAAAATCTTGGTACGGTTTTGTTTTTAATATCAGTCCGCGGACGAAAAACGGCAGGAAAAAACCTGTCACTACAAATTGATTCAAACATTTAAAAATACGTTTACATCTGTGACCAAAATTTAAATTTGAGTTGTTTGATGTATTCGCAGATTGTCTCAAATCCAACTTTTCTAAGACCAAGTAAAATCGCCAACTTGAAATTTTCATTTCCAATTTTTCATGGCTACTAATGATACAAGTCTGAACTTCACACGAATGATATGGACACCAGGTTAGCACCCTATCAGTGAAAGTTGATCCAGGTAAAAGGAGATTGTTCGTCGTTCTTTTAAAAGAATGTTACCACAGATGTCTCTTGAAGAACTGCTATGCTTTCCCTCTTTGGTGGAAGGGTTTCAACCAGCATCTTTCGCACCAGTCAACATTCTCCTCTCTATCACAACATTTCTTGGCAATTCTCTTATCCTTGTTGCCCTTCACAAGGAATCTACTCTTCATGCGCCGTCCAAACTCCTGTATCGTTGTCTGACAACAACTGATCTGTTGGTTGGTCTTGTTGCTCAGCCTCTCTATGTTACCTATCGGATGTCCATGGTCACGAACACTGGACTGTTTATCATTACGCAGAGGGATCAGCCTACATCATGGCTCAGCATTATGTGGAATTTCTTTGTTAACGATGGCGGCAATAACCGTAGACAGACTTCTCGCCCTGTTGTCGGGGCTGACATACAAAGAGAGTGTAACTTTGAAGAGTGTTTATATAATTTTAGCTAGCTTTTGGGTTTTATGTCTTGTCGCCTTTTCATGCACCATTTTCGATCATCTTCTAATCGCTTTGTGTACCCAGATATTGATACCACTTTCACTGCTTATTTCACTCGCCCCGTACACAAAGATATTTCGCACTCTTAGAAATCATCAGGCACAAGAACAAGATCATGTTCAGCAACAGCCGAGTCAACCAAGTGCACTGAACATAGCGCGATACAGAAAGACAGTACACAGTGCACTGTGGGTACAGTCAGTATTAGTTGTTTGTTACACACCATACCTTATTGTGAGAATTTTAGTCACTTATAGTACAACATACTCATCACACTTAGGCGTTGCATTGGCTATGGCAGTTAACGATCGTCGCTTAAATTTTTGCTCGAGGTCTGTCGATGGTATTTTTTGCTAGTCACGTAAAACAAAATAAAGGAAAGGTAATGGAAACACAAACCAAAACTTTTAAAAAGTATTTTACATGCCACCAAAATTTACTTTGCATGCATCAATTATTAATTAAAGGAAAGATGTTCGTGCGCAAGAGAATATATTATCTCTTATAATCTCTTGACGTAACTTATACTCTTATGAATTTTATAAGAAAGCGAAAGAAATAATGGCTTTATCCACTTGTTTGGTAAACGAGTTGCATCGACCAACAATTTTTTATCTGCGGTGTACATTCTCCTGTCCATCACAGCATCTCCTGGCACCTCGCTTCTCCTTGCTATAAACAGTTGAAAACTTAATTTTGTTTTGTCATCAGAAAAATATCCATATTGTTTATGAATGTTTTAAATGTAATTGATAATGATATAATAAAACAAACATTCTGTAAGTGGGTGCATGGATTTAAATCAAAAATTTCCTTTTCTTATTGAATTCTTTTCAAAACCCTTTAATTTTCCGAGATTAAACTTTATACTCCATCTTCTCCGCTCAGCTAACGGTGAATTTCTACGTACTGAGAAGACGGCGTTTAAAATTATTGTGAAATGCTGATAGTATCAAAGACGTTTGTCAGTACGTTTGACTCTTAAAGCTAGTTTGTTCCTATGTTGGTGACTTTTCTTAATGAACTTTCATTAATAGGAAGCTAATCAAGTGTTCATATCATCTGTGTGAAATTTATTACTTCAATCATTATCAGCCTCGACAAACTGAAATTACGAAGATCAAGCTGGTAACTTTGAATGATGTAAGAAAAAATTGGACTCGTGACATCTCCTTATGCATCAAACTATTAAAATGTGAATTAATTCAAATACTAAAAAGAAGCTTGAATCTGAGGGATTGTTTATCACATTTTGATTTTAAAAAACTGATATTACAGATGTCTCTATTTTCTCTTTGTATTGCTATTTCATCCGTGAGGCACCCCACGGGTTCCAACGGTCGATCCGCTAAAAAAAGGGATTGTTTTTCGCCTTGTGAAAAAATGATATCACAGTTGTCTCTCTGTTTGCCTCTTGCTGCTGTTTCATACAAGAGGCTCGTCACAGGTTCCGGAAAAAAAATCAACTCTTTGGCACAACATAAAATTTGCTTACGTACTTTGAATGAGCAGACGCTGATGAGGAAGTCGTTATGTGTTTATGGAAGAAAGTTTCAGTCATCGTCGCTGGCGTGTGCTGTTTAAACGAAAGATTTTTCGTTGCCAGTTGCCTCAGCACAAGAAAAAAGAAACGAATACAGAACAATGTCGACAACAAAGTTCACTAGCGGTGGAACGCGGACGAAACCATTTGAAGAACTTCTATCCACCCCATCTTTTGCAGCTGGATTACATTAAAGATTAACTTTTTCCTCCGCAGTGCTCATTCTCCTCTCCGTCACAGCATTCCTTACAAATTCTCTCATCCTTGTTGCCCTTCACAAAGAATATTCCCTCCACCCGCCGTCTTGTTGCCCTGCCTCTCTATGCAACTTATTGGATGTCTTTGGTTCAGGAACACTGGAGCCTTTGTCGATACGCATTTAACGCAGCCTACATCACGGGCTCTGTATTGTTCTTAGTGCCTTTGATGACGATGACGGCCATAAGCGTGGACAGACATCTCGCCCTGTTGTTGGGGCTGTGGTACAAACAAACTGTAACTTTGAAGCGCACATATATCACTGTCGCTACCATCTGGATTTTAGCTCTTGTCTTTTCTTTACACGCTTTACTTGATGACTGTATAACTTTTTTCCACTGTCTCATAACTTTACCACTTTGCCTGGTTATTTCACTCGCATCATAAACAAATATTTTTCGCACTCTCAGATATCATCAGGTTCAGGCAGATCCCGTTTAACAACAGCCGAGCCAACTTAATGTACTGAACATAGCTCAATACAGAAAAGCAGTGTATAGTGCACTGTGGGTGAAGTTAGCATGTTTGTTTGTTTTGCACCATTCTTTATCGTGGTAACCGTGATTGCACACAGTGAAACACATTCATCGCATTTGGTTATCCTTAGGGGAATAACCGTTGTCTTGGTTTACTTTAACTCGACGTTAAACCCGTTTCTTTACTGCTGGAAGATAAGGGAAGTAAGACAAGCAATGAAGCAGACAATCAGACAAGCACTTTGCTGTCCTTGGGGTTAGACCATCTCGAGTTTTACCCGATCGTACTGGTACTTTCAGTTCAAAACTGACTGATAAGGAAGCTCGTCAATCAGATATGTATATGTTTGCTCGAGGTCTCACATTTGCATTTTTTCGCACCTTAACAGCTAAAGTCGGGGAAGACAATGGAAACGGTAACCATAAACTTTTAAAAATGTTTTTAATGCTACCACAAATTATCACGAATAGATCAATTCATAATTTAAGGAAAGATATGCGCGCGCATGATCATACTCTCAGGTTTGTTATTATAGGAAAGCGTAAGGAACAAAATTGAAGAAAGAATAATTATTACAAAGTTCTCTTTCATGTTCATCTTTTTGCTGAAATTATATGCTGAAGGGGAAAAGGGAATATTGAATGAAAGAAATTATCGACTTTTAAAAATGTTCGATAGAAAGGGTCGCTTTATATTCAGTTTGTTCCTGGTGTATTGTTTAGTTGTCTCCACGTGATTTTAATTCTATGTTTACCATTTCCGAGCGATTAACTGTACCCAACTTTCCCTTATATTTCTTCCAAGTCGTTTCATGAAGTTTTGTTGAATTCAGAATTGACCAAAATACAGTGAGAATGTTTCCAATTGATTATCGGGCCTAGAAATAGCAGCACATACATACTGAATAAAGGGGTAAGTTTCTAAAGAAACCGTGGTGCTGCGTCGGTGGGAGAGTATAGCAGGTAATTTAGTGTTAACAACTGAGTTGAAAACGTAAATTAGCCACCGTAAAAGGTAAAAAAGCTGACGTTTCGAGCGTTAGCCCTTCGTCAGAACGTTTTCAACTCAGTTGTTAACACGAAATTACATACATACTGCTTATTTCACTACTTAAAAAAATGGCAGTCGAGTTCCTTTATTGTATTAAAAAGAGCAAGTAAGCTGATGTCTTCATGTTTGCCAAGGGATTTGACTTTAGTGCTAATTAATTTGTACTCGAAGTAAATTTTACTGATTGAGGTAAACAGCTAATAGCAGCGAATTTAATCACAGCGGTCAAACACTGCGCATGCAGGCGTTTTCAAAAGAATACGAAGGATTTTTAAACGCGTTTAATGCGTAAAGTGAAGAAGGAAAGGTTAAATTCTTAACTATTTCAAATTGAATGCGTAAAACAGTTGAAAGAGGGATTTCCGAGAAAGCTTAAATCTTGGTCTTATTTTATATATATCCTAACTTATTTTTAACGCAGACGCTTTATTACGGCGATAAAGGCAAAATAGAGAACCTTTCTTTTACCCTCGCCAGCACGGCCAGGCTTACGACTCCATCACGCCTCAAGGAAAGTGTAAAAGAAAGTACGATAGTGTAAACTATCACAACATGGGTTAAGTCTAGAACAACAATATGTATTAGTGTAGGCCTTAGAATCTTTGAACTTTCAAGGAACTGCGAAAAACTACAAATCATTTAGATTCTCAGTGTTTACAATAGCAAATTATCCATCTTAAAGCGCATGCGTAATCCTTTGACCGCTGTGTTTTCCATTTGTTACTGTTTACTAGTCAAGCTGCAGTCGCTATTCGGAATAATTAAAGAAGAGATAAATGCGAAGAAGAATTTGCGGAAAAAGAACTTCTACACAAGAATCAATAAGTTGTTGCATTTATTTAACAATGAAGGCACTCGTGTGGTTTGCTTCTCAGCTATTTCATCATCGATGAATAAAATAACGGATTAAAAGTTAAAACGAATGACGTACAGTCGAAAGAAAAGTACATATGTAAGAAATGAATAATTTAGTATTTGATGAAATTTCGTACTCAAAACGAGGCCGAGGTTGTCATGGCTGAATGATGTCTCCTCAGCTTCCTGCGAGCTTCATATCTTAATTAACCCTTTAACTCCCATGAGTGACCAAGACAGAATTTCTCCCTAGAGCATCAATACAAAATTAACCAGATAAGAGGTGAGAATCAAGATAAATCTCCATTTGGGGATAATTATTTGATCCAATACTATATTCTCTGGACTAACATTATAAGAATTGTATGACTGATACTAAGGAGACTTACAAATTTGATCTGGGAGTTAAAGGGTTGACACACACTGTTTACTGGTTACGATGCAGTTGCTATTCGGTTGGTGCGACACAGAGAGGCTGTGTACAGTGCACTGCGGGTTCACTTAGCGTTAGTTATTTGTTGCGCACCAATCACTAGTAAAACATATTAATCGCTTTTTGTCGTTCTATAGAGAGTATCAGTTGTCTTATTTTACTTTAACTTGAAGTTATATCCGTCTTTTATTGCTGGAAAATTGGGGAAGTAAGGCAAGCAGTAAAACAGACAGTAAGAGCAGCACTTTGCTGCCCGTAGCTGATAATGATTCAAGTCTTAACTATAGCAAAAGATATGGACCGTTGATTAGAATCTCATTACAATGGAATTTGATTCTGGTAAAGAGCGACTCTTTGCCGCGCTGTAAAAACACTGAAATAACAGATGTTTCTATATTTGCTTTTAATTGCTATTTCATAACAGAGGCACCCAAAGGTTCTCGGGAAAATTGATTCTTTTTACTCAACAGAAATTTTTTTATGCGACTGTCAGCTAGGACGCAAGAGAAACGCCGAAGACAGAATTATGTCGACAACAAATTTCAGTAGCGGTAGAAGTCACACGAAATCATATGAAGAACTGCTATGCTCTCCCTTTTTGGTGGGTGGGCTTCAACAACAACTATCAATTTGCTTCTTAGCGGTTGACATTCTCCTCTCCATTACAGCATTTGCTGGGAATTCTCTCATCCTTGTTGCCCTTTACAAAGAATCTTCCCTGCATCCGCCGTCCAAACTTCTGTATCGTTGTCTGGCAACCACTGATCTGTTGGTTGGTCTTGTTGCCCAGCCTCACATGGCTCTACGTTGGATGTCCGTGTTTCAAGAACCTTTGTCAATACGCAAGGGACGCAGCCGACATCACGGGCTATGCATTTATTTTATTGTCTTTGATGACGATGACAGCCGTAAGCGTGGACAGACTTCTCGCCCTGTTGTTGGATGTCCGTGTTTCAAGAGCCTTTGTCAATACGCAAGGGACGCAGCCGACATCACGGGCTATGCATTTATTTTATTGTCTTTGATGACGATGACAGCAGTAAGCGTGGACAGACTTCTCGCCCTGTTGTTGGATGTCCGTGTTTCAAGAGCCTTTGTCAATACGCAAGGGACGCAGCCGACATCACGGGCTATGCATTTATTTTATTGTCTTTGATGACGATGACAGCCGTAAGCGTGGACAGACTTCTCGCCCTGTTGTTGGAACTGAGATACAAACAGATTGTAACTTTGAAACGCACGTATATTATTGTAACTACCTTTTGGGTTTTTAACCTTGTCGCCTCTTTATGTGGATTTTTTTGATCACCGTATAATCGTTTTGTACAGCAGCCTAGTTATATCAGTTTGCCTGGTAATATCACTCGCATCGTACACAAAGATTTTTCACACTCTCAAATATCACCAAGCACAAGTACTAGATCAACAACAGCCGAGCCAAACAAATGCACTGAACATGGCACGATTCCGAAAGGCAGTGTACAGTGCACTGTGGGTGCAGTTAGCATTAGTTGTTTGTTATGCACCAATATGGACAGTGGATATTGTGATCGCTCATACTAAAAAATATTCATTACTCTCAGTCGTCATCTGGAAAGTAGCAGTTATTTTACTTTACTTTAACTCGACGTTAAACCCGTTTCTTTATTGCTGGAAGATTAGTGAAGTGAGACAAGCAGTGAAGCAGACAATTAAAGAAGCACTTTGCTGAGTTAGGTCTTTCTTGAGTTGTTCTTCAGACTTTCAAAGCAGACTCATTAAGTCACGATTATTGTTAGAGCGCAGTCGTTAAATAAGTTATTGGATAAAACCAAATAAGCGGCTCAATAAAATAGTTGCGCAGGCTGTTGTTGATAGTCTTTATATCTCTGAAATTAATTTAACGACAGACTAGGTAACCACAGCTATGTGTTTTAAAAAATAAAGTTTCTTGCCGCTATGCTAAAATACAAGATGTCATGGTCGAAGAAAAGATATGCAAACAATTTTCTTTCATGTTTTCTCCTCTCAGTAATATGAAGGCATCAGATAAAATTCAGAAGAGTAGTTTAAGAAATGTGTTTGAGGCCGATGTTATGTATTACGAGAAAATTATTTCGCCTCATTTTCTCTATAATTAAAAGAAAGCGCTTGACGTTGATGTTGACGCCATATTGCCAAAAGAGACAGTCCAGTTTTAGTCTTGAATTTGTTTGTTTTGTGATCAGAAAATTATCCGTAAAGCTTATGTGAAGAAGTTTCTGTTACTTGTTCATTTAACTGAAGGTTACGAAAGTGTATGAAATAAAATTGACCATCTCTGTTCGTTACGGAATTTTTTTACAGATCGATCGATGTGCTGAAGTTATAATGACAACGGCGAAAACAAGTTTCGCATCATTGTATAGAGGTCACCATATGTTCAGTTTGTTGCTGGTGTATCTTTAGGTTTTCTCTGAGTTTTACGGATTTTATCTCCTCCATTTCCGAGCGATTAACTGCTGTCCAAAAGTTCCTCAAACGTTTTTTTTTAAAATTTGTTTTCAAAGCTTTTGTATGAGCTCAGAATTTGCTTCAATGCCATACCATCTAATTATCGCCCTAAAAACATGTATATGCACCCATTGAAGAAGTGATAAAATAGATTTTTTTAAGACTTAGGAGTTCCATATCATATTGTAAAACAAAAAATATAGCCCAAGTCTTTGTGCTTGTCAAGGGAATTCCTTTTCAGTGCTAATTTTAAATTAAACTGAAACGTTATTTACTGAAATCAACAGCTGGCTGCGACGAACATGTTCTTGTTAAATTTTCAAGGTACTAAATTATCAGAGAGGATCAGAAAGGAAATTCTCTGGGAAAGAACTCTTGTTAAAGGAGGGATTGACGCATCTTTTAACGATTAAATCTTTCCTCTGGCTTTTTTTTCAGCTAATCCTCCGTTGGTAAATGAAATGACTGATTTGAAGCCGGAATAAAATGTTTAATCTATAGAGAGTAATTATTTTGCAAAAACGAAAATTTTTCCAACTTAAAACGAGGCGGTTGTGGTGGTTGACTAATTTTTCCTAATCTTTGACAGGGTATTTTTAACAATTGTTTCGTGCGTCAGTGTGCGGTCATTAATATGCACGATGGACGCAGGAAGTTTGGAGAGCTTAAAAGATACGCTGGAGTTGCTTCACAAGCAACCAAGAGTGATCTTAGGTTCACAAATAATAAATGCTGTTAATGTAGGTTTAACTAGGTGTAGGTTTTAACCTCGACTTCCTCTCGGGAATTATTCAACAATATTCACTTCATCTTCGGCAAATAACTGTTAAATATTTTTATCGAGTGTTGATAGTTTTTAAGTATCCATTCCTTCATTTCCGTTCTCGATCAATAGATAATCATTTTCCCTTAAGCATAGCCATATTACTCTGGTTACTGGAGGAGAATGACTAGTCGCCCAGGGGAATTACGACATGAAGAATTCAGTCACTGCTGTATACATGAAAGCTTGCTAGAAACCAAACTATTTTTCTTCTCTTTACGCAGACGAGACGTTAGCAAAGAAAAATTTAGACGAACTTTGTTTTATAATTTTTCCAGGACAATCACTTAAATGTGTTTGGCGAAAGGGGGAGAACAAATAAAGAATGTAAAATAAACGGCGAAAAATTGTTTGAACACGTAATTTCTTGCTTCTTTTAGTTTCGTTTCTTCTTTTGTCGGAGACGAAATGGAGGTAAAAGAGCCACAAAACGTTACTAATTACACAGTTGCATTCAAATGTCCTAAAAAATCATCTGTAGCCATGCATTAATTTTGAATCGTTGTACAAATTCAAATTACTGGACTGATTGTCATAGGTTTGACATCCTTAGCTTAAACTTTTATTTTCAGCTTGCTGAGGCTGATAACGATTCAGGGTTCAACCTTACACAAATGATATTGAAATTTGATTGACAGCCTATATTAATAAAACAAGGTTGTATAAACATCAGCCTTCTATGGTTTCAGGTTTCATTATCAGCACTGCGGCACGGCGTTCCTTCGCCCCCGAGTCGTGTTACTCGAAGCCTCAAACTTATTCACGGGCGAAGTAACTCGTATTGAAGCCTTTATAGTGAGTGCCTTCTCACAGGCTAAATAAAGCGGATTGTTTGTTGCAACATGAAAAAAAGTTATCTTAAAGATGTCTTTAGATATTTGTCTTTCATACGTGATGTATATGACAAGTTAGGCACAAAAAAAGACTTTTTTGACACAGCAGACGATCATCTGAAGTATTTTAACGATTAAATAATAGTGAGGGAGCTTTTACATGATTGCTATGTAGCAAATAGGGTTTAAGTGATCGTCGTTGTACAATTGCTGCCTTAACGAAATATTTTTCTCGCTGCAATCATGACAAGAAACGGGAAACGAAAACAGAATAAAGTTGACCGAGCTTTTTGCAATTCATAATCTACCACCATACAGGGAATATTTCTCCAAGTGATCATCATCCCAAAATAATGACATTATATCTAAATAAACCGGCAATTCTCTTATTCTCCATCTCGATCAAAAAATTACCTTGTTTACTTTATTAGTGGAAACTAATTGTCATGACCAAAGGAGAATTGTTAATTGCTCAAGAGTATCGCATGAACAACAACCGAATAACTTCTCTTTACATGAAAGCTTACTTGATATGGGAATAAATTATTTTTTCGTCATACTTTGAACAAGACATTAGAAGCAAACAAATTGTAGATAGGTTCTAGAAGGCCATCTTTCGTTCGTCATTATCCGGGATAATCAATATAAATTTGCTGGCCAAAGAAGAAGGACAACAGTTGAAGTGAAAGAGGAAATTGCAGAAAATTGTTTGCTGGCGTAATAACTTGATCTTGTTACTATTTTGTTTTTAGTTCTAGTTGGATACGAAACGGAGAGAAAAAAGTCTTAACATAACGCAAAAGATATGGACCGTTGATTAGCATCCATTATAATGGAATTTAATTCTGATAAAGAGCGACTCTTTGCCGCACTGTAAAAACATTGAAGTAACAGATGTTTCTATATTTGCCTTTAATTGCTATTTCATAACAGAGGCACCCAAAGGTTCTCGGGAAAAATAATTTTTTTGACCCAACAGAAATTTTTTTATGCGATTGTCAGTTAGGAAGCAAGGGAAACGCCGAAGACAGAATTATGTCCACAACAAATTTCAGTAGCGGTGGAAGTCACACGAAATCATTTCAAGAACTGTTATGCTCTCCCTCTTTGGTGGGTGGGCTTCAACAACAACTATCAATTTGCTTCGTAGCGGTTGACATTTTCCTCTCCATTACGGCATTTGCTGGGAATTCTCTCATCCTCGTTGCCCTTTACAAAGAATCTTCCCTACATCCGCCGTCCAAACTCCTGTATCGTTGTCTGGCAACCACTGATCTGCTGGTTGGTCTTGTTTCCCAGCCTCTCAGTGCTGTATATTGGATGTCCGTGGTTCAAGAAAACTGGGGCCTTTGTCGATACGCATTTGACGCAGCCAAAGTCACAGCCTATGTATTTTTTTTAGTGACTCTGATGACGATGACAGCCATTAGCGTGGACAGACTTCTCGCCTTGATGTTGGGACTGAGATACAAACAAGTTGTAACTTTGAAGCGCACGTATATTATTTTAACTACATTCTGGGCTTTTAACCTTGTCGTCATATTAAGTGGATTTTTTCATCACCCCATAATCTTATCATACAGCTCCCTAGTTATATCATTTTGCCTAGTAATATCACTCGCATCGTACGCAAAGATTTTTTGCATTCTCAGATATCACCAAGCGCAAGTACGAGATCAACAGCCGGCGAGCCAAACAAATACACTGAACATGGCGCGATTCAGAAAGGCAGTGTACAGTGCACTGTGGGTGCAGTTAGCATTAGTTGTTTGTTATGCACCAATATGGACAATGAATATTGTGCTCGCTCTTACTAAAAAATATTCATTACTCTCAGTTGTCACACGGAAAGTAGCAGTTATTTTACTGTACTTTAACTCGACCTTAAACCCGTTTCTATACTGCTGGAAGATTAGTGAAGTGAGACAAGCAGTGAAGCGGACACTAAAGGAAGCACTTTGTTGAGTTAGGTCTTCCTCGGGTTGTTCTTCAGACTTTCAAAGCAGACTCAATAAGTCATGATTATTATTAGAGCGCAGTTATTAAATAAGTTATTGGATAAAAAAAAAATAAGAGGCTCAATAGAATAGTTGCGTAGGCTGTTTTCGATAGTCTTTATATCTCCGTGAACAATTTAACGATAGATTAGGTAACCCTAACCATGTGTTTTCAAAAATAAGGTTTCTTGCCGCTATGCCAAAATACAAGATGTCATAATCGAAGAAAATGTATGCAAACATTTTACTTTCATGTTTTCTCCTCTTAGTAATATGAAGGCATCAGATAAAACTTCAAAGAGTAGTTTAAGAGATGTGTTTGAGGCCGATGTTGTGTGTTATGATAAAACTATTCCAAGTAGTTTCCCGATAATTAAAAGAAAGCGCTTGACGTCGATATTGACGCCATAGTGCCAAAAGAGACAGTCCAGTTTAAGTCTTAAATTTGTTTGTTTTGTGATCAGAAAATTATCCGTAAACCTTATGTGAAGAAGTTTTTGTTACTTGTATATTCAACTGAAGGTTACGAAAGTATATGAAATAAAATTGACCAGCTCTGTTTGTGACAGATTTTTTTTTTACAGATCGATGGCCACGGCGAAAAACAACCTTCACATCATTTGTATAGAGGTCATCATATGTCCAGTTTTTCGCTGGTATATCTTTAGCTTGTCTCTGAGTTTTACGGATTTTATTTCCTCCATTACCGAGTGATTAACTGCTGTCCTTAAGTTCCTCAAACGTTTTTTATTGGGTCGTTTTCAAAGCTTTTGTATGAGCTTAGAATCTACTTCAATATCATACCATCTTATTATCGCCCTAAAAAACGACAAGTTTGTTTCACCCATTAAGAAGTGATAAAATAGATATTTTAAGACTTAGAAGTCCCATATCATATTGTAAAACAAAAAAATATAGTCCATGTCTTTGTGTTTGCCAAGGGAATTCACACTCGGTGCTAATTTGAAATTAAACTGAAATGTTATTTACGGAAATCAACAGTTGCTTGTAACAAAGGAACATGTTCTTGTTTAATTAATTTTCATACTTCCTTCGCTGTGCTGAATCATTATAGAGGACCAGAAAGAAAATTCCCTGGGGAAGAACTCGTGTTAAAGGAGGGATTGACGCATCTATTAGCGATTAAATCTTTTGTCTGGTTTTTCAGGGAGCTGGTCTTTGTCCGCAGTTCACACATGATTTTCAAATATTCACAGTTTGTTATCGCAAAGGTCATTGGTTCAAATCCCGTATAGGCCTAAATTCTTTTTAGGCCCTATTTTCGCTACTGCTCGAGAAGTGTTCATTACTGTGAAGATTGTTTTCATATTCACGTTTCTTGTTTTGTCGGAGACGAAACAGAGATAAAAGAGCCTCAAAATGTTATAATGACCTTAAATTCAAATATCCTGGATTAAGTTTGCATCTGTGGCCTTACATTAATTTTGAATCGCTATATGCATTTAAATTGCTGGACTGTCTGTCATGGATTTGACACTCTTAGCTTAAACCTTCTTTATTTTCAGTTTGCTGAGGCTGGTAATGATTTAAGGCTCAACCTTACACAAATATATGGATATTTGATTGACACCCTATCAATGAAACTAGGTCGCATAGGCCTTCGATGATTCCAGGTTCCCATTATTAGCACTGCCTGATTGCGTTCCTTCGCCCACGAGTCGTGTTACTAAAGGCTTCAAAGTTATTGACGGGCGAAGTAACTCGTATTGAAGCCTTAATAGTGGAATTGTTTGTTGCAACATGAAAAAATAATCTTAGAGATGTCTTTAAATATTTGCCTCTTATTCCTATTTCACACGTGATGTACAGGGCAAGTTAGACACAAAAGAGGCTTTTTTGACACACCAGACTTATTCTACTGGAAAAAACAGCTACAAGGAGACGAGTATTTACATATATGTAGATTGAAAAATGGAGGCTCGATTGAAAAATGGAGGCTCGATTGCGTAATCGAGCCTCGTTTGTCGCAGAGTGGCAAAACGAGGTATCGTGGTCGTTTTAGATCGAGAGTTTTTGGTCTGGTTTACCAGAAACCTTGAGTGATCCCAAACGGAGTGTTTTCTAGCAGAAAAGCTCACGTTGAGAATACTCTCAGAACTGTGAGATACAAAGAGGAACGACTTAAGTGCGCAAGATTTTTTTTAGCACCTCAAGAAACTCCGGAAACGCGGTTTGACAGCCATTGTTGCGTTTCGCATTCGTCTATCTTGTGGTTGGTGGTTTACTTTCGTGTGATCCTCGTCTGTGATAAAAGAACTGTGCAAATGTCACTTACTCTCACTGGCTTGAGTCCCGACATCGTGTTCACCTGGTAAGTTGAAATTTCGCTTTTCTTTGCGTGGTATGCGTTAGCTTCGCTAATTATCAATTTTTTATTAACAGATTCGCCTATCTGGAAGTCGAGTTTTAAAGTTAAACACCAATTTAAACCGTAAGTCAGTCAAGTTTTCTAAGTTGTGTAAGTTTTATCAAATGCGCCATTATGCAAAGTTTATGAGTCATTCAAGCTTGCATAATACATTCACTGCTTAAGAGATCCCACTGTTTTCCATTACAGCTACTTTTTGTTGTAAGTATCCTTTCAGTTGTATGGCACCTTTTTGTAAAAGAAATATTGGATGTCCGCTGAATTATATGGGTTCTGCCTTTCAGATAAGTGAAAACCAAGATGCTATGGAACTGCTCCGTATTGAAGTAGAGAGAGAGGAGGAGGGCCCGAGAGATGAAGGTAGAGAGAGATGGAGGAGAGAAAGAGAGAGAAGCAGACAGGAGGATAGAGAAAGGATAAGGCGAGACAGGGTCGAGGAACGACGCAGAGAGACAATTGTTCAACCACGACAACCTTTACGGCAACCTCCACGTCAACCTACACGTCGTCCCAGTAAGTAATGTAAACTGCTTCCTACCGTTGGATATATTTTTAACCTTTTAATTTGGTTTTCCAATTTTTCAAATCTCAAATACGCGATATAGCATGGCACGTTAAAATACGAAATATCCCTTCGAGTGTTGAACATGTCTCAATAGTGCGAGAAGTGAATTAGAGACTATTGTTTTCCCATAAATTAAAATGAATTACATAAAAAGGGAAACACCGAACCATTTCCTTTGCGTACGAATTACTTTGTATCCAAAGCCTCGGCGTTCACATGTCAAAATAACATGTTGCACGTGTCACATTTTTGCGGAAGGTCTTGTAGTACTTCCCTGCTAGTTGTTTAGTGAAAAGGGAATATTACATGGCCGCATGGAGATACGAGTGACTCTCTCTTAATAAAATGGTAATCCATTCTAATTTCGTTGCAAAAGATACAACTGTTATTCAGCCTAAGACACTGTGGAATTTTGAAGGGTCACGTGGTTGTTACTGCTATTGTTATAACAAAAGTCTTTATTTCCTTGTAGAGAGATGTTACAACTGTGGTAAAGTCGGACACATTCGGGCCCAATGCGAATGCCGAAGTCCGAAGCGTCGCCGAACAATAGAATACAGAGGGGACAGTGACGTGGGTGCTGTTCACTACCACTTCCACGGCACTGTCCGAAATCTAAAAATTTCGAAATAAAGAGTTTTTTGAATGTGAAATGTGTCATAATGCATTCTGCCTAAATCCAAATAGCAGGGGATAACGTGGGTAATGACTGGTCTTGAAAATGCGAACTGGAACGATAACACATCCTAACACACGCACACACACACAAAAAAAAGCAATACAAGGCATTCGAATTCAAAGTAAACTGTAATCATTTTTTTAAAGTTTATGGTAGAAGCACATCTACGACTCTACAGTAAGAAAGTTGGAACAAAACGAAAAGTCGGTAGTTATATATGGAAGATTTTACGCCAGTAACTAACGGCGTAATTTCTTCCAGTCGGTATTTATATATGGAAGATTTTACGCCAGTAACTAACGGCGTAATTTCTTCCAGTCGGTGATATATATATATGTGTAACATTTTACGCCAGTAGTATGAATTAATTATATTTTAATTTATTATAATTTAATCACCGACTGGGTTAGTGGCGTAAAATCTTACAGTATATAGACTGTGTTAGTCGCATTTTACGCCGTTATATATATTCCCAATTAATACAAAATCTCTGTTAATTTCCTCAGCAGTAACCAAGGGATATATGCCAGTGGACCCTTCGCATAAAATAATAAAATTTTTAAATCCGTTTAGGTTACTTAGGAAATGTTCCACGTTCAATAGTTCCAGTTTCAAGTTACTCATGATCAGCATATTAACTGTTTCGTTAACAGCATGATAAACTCAACACTAACAAAAAGAGCTTACAAGAGCTCATTTACAAGGGTATAAAATTCTCTGCAATAGCCATTATGCATGCAACATTGTTTTGCAATAATGTTTTGAGTGACTGCAAATCAAGGCTAGATCTCAGGTTTAAAGTGTTTATACTATGAAGCATCTAGTACATTATGCCACCATAACATCATGTATTTTTTTCCCAGTTATACAAAGTTTTACACCCCTTTGTATTAGTAAGGCTGTTAGATTAGAGATTATAATTGATTATTGTTACTGTTTCCCATTTACATTATCATTAGTAATTTTATTCTTGGCATACTGACATGTATAGCAGTAACTTATTTATACTAACTGTATTAAGAGTTCATTCCAAGAACATGAATTTTAATACAGTAAATCATGAACAGCAGTTTAAATAAAAAGAGGAAATCTGCAATACCACTTGGAAAGCTATGATTCCATCATGATCACCAGTTTGGAAGACTGCATCTTTAGCTTCTTGCAGTGACAATTCTTGGTTATGTGTCAGAATAGTAATTGTGTCAGGTACCAAAACTGCATAGTCACTCTGCATGTCAGGTACAGGCCCTTCTTCACCAATCCCATAATGACTGAATAAATCAACAGCCTTGCTGGCAGTCACATCTGTCACAGCCTTATACCCAGAATTTCTGAAATGTAACATTCCTTGTATCCAGAGCTGATTGGGAGAGAAATTGCATTGTGTGCTTACAGGAAGATTATTCCACTGACTGATAAATTGGTTAATTGCATTATTAATCAGTGTAATGTAAACTAGATGAATACAAAACAGATGCACCTCATCTGTTGGATCTAAAATTCCACTGTGCTCAAGAAAGAGGAAAATGTTCAAAGAGTGGCTCACAATAACCCAGTTGACATCATACCAGAGATGCTCTATTCTCTGGTTATGAACAGATTTTCCAGTGATGTGGCTGCCTCTATTCAAACCTCTTTCTTGCAGCATGAAGCGAGCAACTTCTATGTTTTCCATTCCAAGATCACTGCAAACTCTTGATGGTAAATTGTAGTGCTCAACAGCTGACTGGAAATACTGCAGTACAGTTAAAGCCCTGTTGTTGGTTGATGCCTGAAGGAATACTATCATTCTTGAAAAACCATCTAAACCACCATGAATGACAATTTTATATGGCTGGATTAGTTTGTGGTTGCCATCAATGCCCCTGTTGGACACCATGAAGACATTTGTTCCACTACACTATCACATATATGTCAGGTTAAATATGGTATGTAAAAAAAGTTAAATCTGCCTATCTGAGTAATAGTGGTAATAATTATAATGACAATAACAAAAATAATAATCATAACATCAACAAGAGGCATTTTGTGATCACCCATGAGTAACAGGCGTGATAGGTAGGAATTTTGAGCATAATATCATGATCAGGGGAAGGTGGGGGCTGGGAAACTGGGTTAGGGTGATTAGTGAGGGGGCTAAATAGAATCGGGGAAAGTATCTCAAATCGTGAGTTGAATTGGCATTAATACTCATGCATCAAAATTACAGCCTGACCTCCCTTGTATCACAGATTTAAACCAGTGTTGCCCCTGTGTGGAGGGAACTCCCATATAAAAAGGAAAGGAGTGCTTGTCACAAATTTTGAAAAGAACCCTTAAAAGGTATCAAGATCCTGTTTTATTGGCATAGCTTAATATACTTTTCACCTCTAAGAGGAAACAATTCTGATACAGCACAGTTAACCCTAGCTGTCATTTTTTTCTGTTCAAGACCCTACCTAAGAGATAGCACAAAAGCTCCCGCTGTGGACCTTTGGAACTGACCACCATAAGAGGTACCAAACCTGTATTTTTAAACCCTAAAAAGTATAACAAGCATCCCTGTCCTTTTTATACAGGAGTCCCCCCAGGGGGGTGTTGCCCTTAGAGAAATAACAAACTATTTGAAAAGAGGGGTGGTGGGCTCTAATGGTGTAGTTAGTGTTAACTAAATAGCGCTTCAAAGAATTCGTTTATTTTACCATAACGCATTGGGGCATGGCACACTGTTCACTTTACGAATTATCTGCTGCGCTGCTCTTAAAGTGCGAATAACCGGATCCACTCTTCGAATAGATTCCTGAATACGATGGCACTGGATTCGGAAGCCCCTTTTCCTTAAGCCCCCTTCAACCAGGCGTTGACCAGCGCTTGGTGTCACTTTAAGAATTTCCCTCACATATTCGTCAAGGTCATCGTTGGAGACATCACTGAAATTCTCTCCCACACCAACTGGCAACCCAGGTTCATGTCTTCGATGGCGCAAAGTTCTTCCAGAGATTCCAAGAATTCTTCCGATATCAGCCCAACGAAAACCGGCGTCATTGTCAGAGTTTGCAGCTCTTGCTTTAAGGTCTGTTGCCTTGGTCTGCCAACTAAACCATTCCTTGCCACAGTTGAAAGACAATCGTTTAGTGACGATGGTGTAGTAAACGTAGAACGTTCCGAGTCCTCGAAAATTCTGTCAAAGTCCCTTGAAAGTTCGCTCATAAGAAAAACAAGTTCGTTTAGATCAGAGATCACCTCAACTTCGTTTGGGAAGGCTTCTTCTATTCCTAGCGTCAAAGTGACAAGAGTTCTTTCGTTTTCTCGTAAACGACTAAAAAATTCAGCCGAGTCGTAGGACGCAGTGTTCCTTTGCCCTTCTGTACTTTCCAGTAGCCTACCCAAAGACGTAAAAAATTCTTCGAAGTTGGGCAGCCAAATCCGTACACCATGCGTAGTGCTTCTCAAACATCACTGGTAATCTGCCTTCATTTCCGCCATTTTGAAAGGGTTAGTTTCCGGGGCTTCTTGTTTAATCTGACTTCCGGTTATTTCTATTTCCGCTTCCTCATCTTTTAGTTTTATTGAATATCTTTTAGTTATATAAGGTCACGCGTGAATGAGCCAGGAAAGCGATGTATGCTGCACAACATCGATGTATGAAATCCAAAATCGATGTATTCCGGATGAAATTGATTTATTTTATTTTAAGACTTGTATTATAACGCATAACAATAAAGTAATTGAACAAAACATTAATGTATCCATGTTCGATATTTTGTCCGTAAAAGAACCTCATAGTCATGCTTCGTCACTTATTCAAAACAAACGCCAAGAAAGCGAAGATGACTTTATCACTTTCGACGGTAAAGTGATACATGACGAGTTCACAGGAAACAAAGAACTGCTAGACAGATTGGTGATAGTTTTCTTTGCGGAGAAAACCAAGAATGATTGGGTCCCAACCGGTTTGGATGAAAGGAGAATTTTTATCATCAAGGGAATCTTCACTGGCAAAACTCGCGTGTGATTTTGAGTCAAAAATATGAGATATTGTGGACTCTTAACTATTTCTAGTATAGCCGATAGGCTAAAACTGAAGGAAACTTTTAAAATCAAACTGATATCTGTAAGCAAAGGTTTTAGTAATAAATGGCAGCCCCAAAGAGTAAGAAATAACATTGATTCCCGGCTGTACATATTTTTATGCGTCAAGGTAAGGAGTTTGCATTTGATCGAACTTTCTACTTCTGTTTTCTTGTTTGACTGAGTAATCGGACCCTTTGGCTACAAAGCGGAACCCGCCGGCGACCGACGAAATTCCAAGGTACTTGAGACATAATTGTATTGTTATGGTTTTAGAGAAGAAACTCTATAGAGGAGCAAAGTCCTCGTGCGTCGATAATTTTTTTTTTCTCGGGGGGGATGTTTTTTTTTCTTCCTAACAAATTGCATTTTTAAGCCAATTACTCCGATGGTTTAAAACATAGACGGTTTCTTCATCGCAATCATCCATATAGCAAGCCATTTAAAGCTAGAGCGTTTTTTTTTTTGCTCTTAGTTCCCTTAGTGACCCGCCTTGAGTATGACAACCGTATCGTCGTGGAAGTCTGGGTAGAAGAGGTGCACGACCCGCTATACAATCAATCTTGTTCTAATGGTTGGGCGGGACTGAAGAGAGACCCTGAAAGCGACGTTCAGACGTGATAACGTCACCAATTTCATTTACAAAGATCCGTTATTATCGACTCAATTTGGCAGAGGTGCGCTTTGTAATCTCGTTTGGACAAAAAAGCTCTATGGAATGGTCAATATATATTCTACTCTGAACAGAGGCTGATGGCATACCTACATGCTTCTTAAAATGAAACAAATAACTACAATATCTTTAGATTTTTCACAGCTCAGTGTTAACTAATAAATAAACATTAATAAGACAAGAAAACTATGACCTGAGCATTCCTTAAAGAATTTGGAGAATGCAAGTTAGACATCAGTCATTTTCCTCCTCTTCTCTGTTCGGAAGCTCTTTATGTAAATGCAATGGACATTTTTCTCAATTCTGTGGTCTCCTCGAAACAATGTTTAAGTACGTATTATCGACAATATCTTGAGCTCTTTCTGCTAAATTTATTTTTCTTCACAATTTCATACCATCTGCCCTTTTCAATCACACGGTTGAGCCAAGGGTGTAACTATCAAACTAGTCTTGTTTGAAGAAAACGATTTATACACACAACTGCGATTAATTATCAACGTCTAACGCACTGAAATGGTTGTTCAAGAGCAATCAGCGTAAAAGCAGGCTTTTTACAACTGTAGCTCTTGCTGTCCATCAAGGATAAACCTCTATTACAAACTCTATCATTCTTGTGCTTAACACAGGAAGTCATCTCCAAGCAGTATTTTCTTCATACGATATTCAAGGTGGGCCAAAGTGGGACTTCCATCGAGAGGAACTTTTCCATCTTCCACATGAAACAGTCGCTTTTCATCAAAACCAGTCGGAATCCAGTCATTCTCGGTTCTCTCCTTGAAGTGAACGATGATGAGTCTGTTCTTGACAAGTTCTTCGTTTTCTGTGAATTCTTCTTGTATGACCCTGCCGTCAAAAGTAATGAAATCACCTTCTTTTTCTTGCTGCTTGTTTTGGATAAGGAACAGAGCCTGGTGTGACCCGATCAACACGACACATTCACTGCGGCGGAGTTCTTTCCTGAAATCTCGTTCCCTAGCCAAAATGTCCTTGATATTTCTTATATCTGCAACCTTTCGCAACCTGCCTTGAACATAATCCATAAGTCTCCTAGCCTTAAAGCTATCGCTTTCAGTATACAAAAACAATGAGAATTTCATTTTTGACTCGATTTGGAAGGCAGAGATACAAATGAATCGAGCACACCAGCTTTGGATCTTGTCGTTTAAATCAGTTTAAAGGCAGGAAACTAAAAATGTGCTCACAAAGAAGCCAGCTGGCAACAAAGCAAGGAAACACCTGTACTACTATAATTTATACCAGATGCAAATGTGTAAATTGCACTTGAAATGATTATTATGTAATACACGAGGGACGTATCCATAGAAAGCTGTTCTAAGAATACGGTAAGAATTGCCGTATAAATTACTTATATGATCTGTGTGCCTGGTTGTAATTGAATCACGACTCGAGCTTTTTCGGAGGTCCCAAACATCCCAAAATAATAAGAGCATTTGGCATTCCCACTTTGGTCTGTTTTTATTGGAACTTTTTTCAATCTTACTGATGCCTTTAATTCTGTAACTAGTGAATATATTTTCTTCAACTTTCACAAACGTTTGCCATGAACACATTTTGGATAATTTTGATAAAGAGCTATTTAGCGTATTACATGCGCAATAAAGTATTTTGCACCGCGAATCGCTTTTTTTTGAATCGTAGACAATTACAAGCTAACGAAAACTACTGTTTTCAAGCCGTCTAACATCCCTTGAGGGCTACGACATGACAAATCACGCTTACTGTTTTCAAGAAAGGAATCAGGAGTTCTCTTCAAATGACGGAAAATCAGAGATGGACCGTCAAGTAAGTGATGGGTAATGGTGGATTATTTAGCATGCAATAATTTTCTTTCTCTCTCCTGTATCCTTTACTTTTTTTTCTTTTTTCTCTTTACATGAAAATTTTTTGTATCTGCTTCTCTGTTTATTACTGCGCTGAGTTGCATCAATCAGTTGAGGGCTGCTCAACTTGGTACCCAGGCGCTCTTCGGGTTTTCAGCTTAGAGGCCTATAAATTCCTGGGGATGAGTTGGAACAAGGCCTCGAGCCACTATGCTTGTACATCAATGCGGATGTGCCTACGTCAAAGCTCGATGTATTTAGTGAAATATGGTGCATATTCATTACATATAACTTAAATGTGGCTTGTGTTTGAAGATTCAGGAATGAGTAAGGGAGAGCATGGGTTGGAGCACGCTGAAAAGGACAACGAACCAGGAGATCAGCATCCTGAAATTTTGGATCGCTGTCGTGATCATCAGCGAGAATATTTGTTAGAGGATGAGTTTGACGAGGAGTTCTGGCTTAAGGTAAAACAAGTTTCTAAGTTTATTTGGAAATCTTTCGGGAAATGTTTTGCCATACATTTGGTCCGTTATTGACGTAGCTTGATTAAATTATCTAGGTTCACAACAAGCAGAACAGAGGATTGTCATGGAACAGAGCTATGGATGAAGTTCGCGTTGAAAGACTGATTCAGACGTACAAGAATAGTGGAGAAATGGACAGTGAGGACCCAGCTCTTGTGATTTTAAAACAGTGGCCAGGATCGAAAAAGTACATAGATAGTCCCGGAAAACCTCCAGGACTTGAACAAATGGTCTGTATATACATATATATCTATTTCAATTTACATAAAGGGAATTGATTAATTGCCTTTGTTATAAACATGACACTAGTTTGCAAACTTGCTTTTAATTTTTGTATCTTTTTTCGTAATACTATTTTTTTCAGATAAATCGATTCTTGGATATTCTTTTGGGAAGTGAGCTAAGCCTAGGAAACAGATACAAGGCGTTCCGAGACGAAGATGACAAATCAAGGAAAACATTACTACATTATGCTACAGAACTTGGCTTTCTACATGTCTCCAAAACGCTCGTAAGGAAATGTCCTTTGCTGCTTACCATGACGACAGAAGCTCAAGTTATACCTGAGAAAAAGAGAGCCATGTTACCCCTGGAATTGGCTCTAGTGGCAGAGAAAGACGATGTGGCAGAGTTTTTGATTAGAGTTATGTGGCATGAAAGGTAAAAAACAGACTGGCGATTTAATGAAAATATGAAATACGTTTTCTAAATGAAAGAACTAAAGAAGGATTTTAATTTCCAAAACTTGAGGTTATTAAAAGAAAGCATGTTGTATATTGACCATCGATTTCTTAATCTAAACGATAAAGTCCAAACAATATTCTGAAATATATGTACATGTTAAGTTCACAATATCAGAATTAGTGCAGTGATAATTGTCCTTCTTCAACTAACCTGACAACCAGGGATTGTTTAGAAAAACCTGATTAACTGGTGGACAGGATATTTTTACTTACTCTTTAAATGGTAACTTATTTCCACTGTCATTTTAGAGTCCTAAGCTTATTTACTTGGAAACCAGATGATGTGACAAGTCATGAGCCATCCTTCTTCAGTTTCAAGGCAATTATTGAGAATCCTAAAATGAAGGTGAGCATTTTCTATTCAGTATCAAAATTTGAAAAGAGGGCTGGTTTAATTTTTTTATTGAGTAAGCAAATTGGTGATTAAGAGAAGCCTACTATACGTTGAGCCTAATATGTATCAACCAGGGGTACCAATTTTTAATGCATGAAATTGCATGTATCTCCCCATAATCTTAGTAACTTATGTTGTGCCCAAACCCCATTAATCTTATGCCAGTCATAGATGTCTTGTAAGTGGCTTTTTTTGGCTATTTTTTTTTGTGAGCATTATTAGTTTGGTTCAATACAGTTAATTGTGTTTACTTGGGAAAATTGGAATCCCCCTTCAGTAACTTTTTAAAGATGCCTTTTTTATTGATGTTAACCCTCTATGGCCAGTAGCATATACCAAGGTGACCTTCTGAGGGAGTTGCTATTCCAGATGTAAATCCATTTTAGTTTATCTGCACATCTGCCATTCAGGAAAATAAACAACATTTTTTAAAAACATGTTTCAACCTTTCTTCTGTCATCTTCAGTTCTGATTTTGCAAAGTACAAAGTTGAATTTAAAGTGTATTAACAAAATGCTGAACAATGTATGCAATCAGAATTGAAGATGACAGAAACACTGTTGAAACATGTTTTTAAAAAGTGTAGTTATTTTCTTAAATTTGTTACATATCTGCTGCTATCCAGATGTTTGCCATTCTTGAAAAGAGCAGAGAAAACTCAGTCATCATGATTTTCCTGGTGAAGTTCATTATATTTGTTTTTATGTTGTTGTCATTTTCATCGTTATGATTATAATTATTATGATGATGATGATGATTATTATTATTGTCTTAGCATGCGGCAATGTGATTATGGTAGGTTCAGGTATTACTCATTGACTGCCATTGGATCATTTTTAGTAATAACTAAAACACGTGTTCAGTAGAAATCTTTTTGATGAAACATTATATGGTTTTGTGTTGTTCACAGAAAACAGTAGTAGCTGTATTAGACCAGATGATGAATCCTCATTGGCCATATCTTCCAAAACGCCAAGAAAACTATGAAACTGAAATGGAGAGGGAGGCAATTGAAGGAGTTTGGAATACAGTTTCAGATGATCCATTAAACTATCATTTTTACTATCATATTTTGGATGGAGATGAGGGAGGACGACCCCCACAGATTATGACTTCAGATGGACACCAGCAGATGGAAAACAAGTATTTCAACTGGGAAGACAAGTCTTGTTTACATGCCATAGCAAAGAGCAACAACAAAGTAAGTTTAAACTAGAAAAAAATTTCTGGTAAATGCTAAGCAATTGTAGCTGAAGTTAAAAGTGTAATATGTCACTTAAGATATTTAGAAAAAGTAGAAACATTCAGATTTATCTGTTGTTACATAAAGCTGCAGGAGTTTGATTGTTAGATCGCTCTTGACTCATGCTTTGGACAGAAATCAGTTCTTGATTTTCATCATGTTAGGAAGCTTTGCAGCATCCTGTGGTTAGAATGTTGATTGAAACAAAATGGAAAAGTTATGGACACTTGTTTCTCAGGTAAATGAGTTGTGTTTGCAGGTTCCAATATTGCAAATTTTAGAAATAAGGGTATCATATTTATTTAATTATATAGATGTTGAATTTAATATTGATGTAACTCTAAGTATGGGTGATAAAGACAGAATTTACTGAGGTTTTTTTTGCCACTTAACACACATTATTCACTAGTGAAAGCACTTCTATGCAATATGATTCAGTCTTATGGCAATTTCTTTTGGGACAGTGTTAATACATGCATACTGTCCAAATTTAAGCCTTTGATTTTTCAAAGGTTTATTGCAAACATATTAGACAGGTTACCAAGAACTTAATGTTTTATATCTTCATTTGAATTTCTAATCCTGTGCCCTTTCTTCATTTTGCTTCTGCAAAGAGTTATCATAATTTCTTTTTCTTTTCTGTAGCCTCCAAGCAGCATCGTTTTGCATCTTCCTACTGTCCATGTCATATTCTCTGCTGCATGCCTCTACCAAACTGGACCCCACCCGTTACAACGGTGCGCTGGACTCAGTGCGTGGACTTTGTGAGGTTGTCACTCTACTCATGGTTGTGTTTTACATCTGTGAGGAAATAAATCAGATAAGAATGTAAGTAATTATGGGGATCAAGGGTTACTGTGGAAATTTCATCAAGACCTTCCATTTGACTCCATATCGCAATTAATGACCTCAAATTTGAAGAGGAGCATAGTTGTGAAATTGTTTGATTTCTTGCAGAGAGGGGCGCTCTTATTTCACAGAGTGGATGACCTTGTTTGACTGGTTAGGCCTGCTGTTGATATTGTGTATAGTACCGTTACGATACATGGATCATAAAGCACAGTGGATGGTGACATCTCTGGCCTTCTTGTTCAACTTCCTGAGGATATTTAAATTTTCATGTGTATCAAGGTAACACAGAACTCCCAATTGATTACTGTAGAGCAAAAAGATGACTTAAAGCTCCTCCCTTCGTTAGTTTAACCTAAACTTACGTTTTTCATAGGACTACGGGATTATACACGCAAACCTTGGCAAAGATCATTTTACACGACGTCACAAGATCCATGGCAGTTTTTATTGTGATCTTTTTCTCCTTCTGTGGTGCCTTGACTTTATCACTTTGTTACTCCGGATCCAGTGAGAACCAAGAACTTCGGTGCGTCTCTGTTGAGTATATCTCCTTAACCTTCCTTGTTTTGGAAAAAACTAATTCAGGGTATCGTTTGCTACAAGTCAGTAAAATATGAAATAATTGCTACTGGAATTTGTTTAATTTGATCTGCTCTTTACTAGCTAGATTTTTTGTTTACTCAAACTATTCTCATCCTTTCTGGCAAAAGTAAGTTATTGATCGCGGGAATTTGGATGTTGAATATAGCGCGTGAGAAGTGCAAAGAAACCCAACATACTAATTTTAATTTTTGGTTTTGCCTTTAGTGGTTTTGGAGACGTCTTGATGAGCGGGTTTCGAGCGCTATCCGAGCAGTATCCAATGGCGCAAAATTACTCACCTTTCAAGTACGTAACACTAATATTTAAGTTATTGCTGTTCTTCTCTCTGCGCGTAAAGATTGTTAGGATTGGAGTTTTAAAAGTCAGCTTAGGGAAGCTAACGTCACATGTCAGATATTTAATAGGGGATCGGTTCTGTTTAGTAAGTCACTTATTTTCCTCCGGTGGATAAGCTAAGCTTTGTGAATATTTCTTTCCCGCAGCTGGCTGTCAGTTCTTCTAATGATGGCGTATATGGGAACAGTGACTGTGATTCTGCTCAACATTCTTGTTGCTCAGATGAGTACGACCTACACACAGGCTAAGAAAGTCGCTCGTCTGGAATATGATGTGGATCGTATTTTACAGCTCACGCGCATGGAGAGATTTCCTTTCCTGGTGAGTATCACTTGGTAATTAGGATAGAGCCGTTAAGATATTGACGTTAGGTGTGATAACGCAAATGTACTGCCTGCCTCGTGCAAGTGTGAATGAGGGAGTGGAAGGTGAAGGTCATTGATTTATTATGCAACAACCTTTCTCTCTGCAGAATTTACGTGTGAAGTTTTACAAAGAGGGAGACTGGATCAGTGAAATGAAACTTGCAAAAGGTCGGTAAAGAAATAAATGAGACTAGTTATTAAGACATACCATCAGTCACAGGATTTTGTTGGCTGAAAGCTGGAATGGCTATTGGTCAGAAGGACAAATTTGGCGGGGCTACGGAAAGGAGTAGTGTGGAAACGAAAAGAAGGGCTGCTCACTTTGCTAGCCTTTGTTTTAATTGGCAAGAGCTCTGTAGCTGTCTGAGCGAACAGTTTCAAATAATAATCATTTTCCATTTCAATTCCTCGTTGGTGGGTTAGAGGAAGTCTCGTGAAGAGTACGTAAAAGCGAAACATCTTGCTTTCCGATGCTATAATGCGTAGAAATTTCATTGTGTTCTCAGATGTGATCTTGGTTTTGTTCACAGAGCTTCTGGAATTCAGTGAAGATCGCAGTCCTTGGGAGTCGGTTGAAGAGAAACTTAATGATATCAGGTACGAATAATTCCTTCAATTCCTACCTTTCCTGACCATCAGCTTCTTCATTAACCCAGCAATCACACTTTGAGCGTTTTGTATCAAGTGTTGTAAAACCAAAACTAAATTAATAAAGGGGGTACATTGCTAAGAAACTGTGGAGCTGCGTCGGTGGGAGAGTATAACAGGGTATTTTTAGTATTATCAACTGAGTTGATAACGTAAGTTAGCCACCGTAAAGAGTTTCAAAGCTGACGTTTCGAGCGTTATCGCTTCGTCAGAACGAAACTAAATTTGATACAGCGACATATCGGAAGGCAAATCCAAAAAAAAAAAAAAAAAAATACAGGAAAAAAAAATCAATCAAACTGTCCGAAGCGTGGGAAAACAATTGTGATCAAGTCTAAATCTGATTGATTGAGAGGATGGGGCGAGTTTTCAAAACCAATCAGAGAGCAAAGTGTAACAAAATTGACGTGTTGGATTTCCCACGGCTCGTTACTAAACTTTCTTACTCACCCCGCGCTTTCACATTTTTGTGTATCAGCGGTTTTCTTTAATTTATTGTGAGTTTCTTATTTTAGGGATCTGATGAGAAAGATGGTTAAACAGATGAGGCCTGGACGCGAATAAACGGATGTCTGTTGCTTGACGGCAATAACAGGAATATATTGGTTCCGTTTTCTTCGGAATTTTTCACCACTTGCATTTCGTACGACTTTGAACAGAAAGATAGGGCGATAGTTTTAGGCAATTTGTAAACGAGCGGGTGTCATTTAGATTTGTAATTTTTTATGGGGTTTAAATTTGAAGGTGTTAAGCACACACCCACCCGTGGCAACATACTCAAGTGCCCTCGGAGGAGAAGAACGTGTAGGACTATAATTCCTGGGTATCCTGGTTTACTTAAATAGTGCGAAGAATTTACGCACCTTGCCTCTGAAATATGAGCAACAGATATCAAGGACTTACTAGTACATCCTTTAAAACCCCGTTGCGTGAAATGTACATCATAGTCTCGACCAAAAATTTGTTCTGCGAAATCTGAAGATGTTAGATCAGTTGGATACAGATTTAGGTCACGTGATTCCCTACTGTGGACAAAGCAGTTATTTACTTTGTCAGATATTCAGGACAGAATATAGATGGTCCTGATGATAATACTACAGCGTTTCTTTTAGAAACTTTATTCAATGAAATCACTCAACAAATGAGCATAGTTTTCAGTGTTTTGTTGCATGCATGGTTAAAGTTCAAAGTGTAAAGTTATTGAATCCAATTTCCTGCCCTTGGCTATTCCTTTGACTCATTGTCAAATTAGTATGCAAAAAAATGTGTACCGGCAAGTAAACGCTTGAATCTTCCACACCGATTGAACTAATTTATCTGAGCGTTTTTTCCAGTTTCATTATTAATCCTACTTTGAAATTAGTTATAATTACGCCTTAAATCAGCAAAGTGTAAACGTTTCTGCTCCGTGTTGCCTTTAATCCAACAAAAATATTGGCGAAATATACTTTCTCATTGCACACAATATCAAATTGATTACAAATTACCTGGTTGGTTTCTTAATGCTCTGCCATTATGCACAGTTCATTATTTAAAGATAAATAGCTTCCTTTACAAGATTTTTTAACGTTGATTACACAGATATTGTGTAATCAAAAGTTGGGAAGCTCTGTTTGTAAGGACGCGAGGTTTTTTTTTATCATTGATGTATCCTAGAAACAACATTTGAGTACTTATCTACAAAAAGTTATTCCAGCTAAATTTTGTCTTCTTTTAGAGAATTACCAATCATCCACTCTAGGTAATCACACAGTCAAGCCAAAGGTGTAACCATCACACTGTTGAGCTTTAAACTTTCGACTAGGAAAAAGATACCACAAACAAGTACGATCAATTATCAATATCTAACACGATGAAACTGTCATTCAAATGTAATCGGCTGCAAAACGAGCATCTGTAACATTTTTGTCTAAGTATGAAGAAACCTTTACCGTACTTCTAAGGTCCTTAAGCTCAGTACAAGAAGTCATCTCCGAGCAATATTTTCTTCATGCGATATTCAAGGTGAGTTAAAGTAGGGGTTCCCTTGGGGGGAGCATTTCCATCTTCCACGTGAAAAATTCGGTTTTCATCAATACCTGTCGGAATCCAGTCATTCTCGGTTCTTTCCGTGAAGTGAACGATAACGAGTCTGTTCTTGACAAGTTCTTTGTTTTGTGTGAACTCCTCATACATAACATTACCGTCAAAAAGTATGTCATCTCCGTCTTTTTCTTGCTGCTTGTTTTGGATGAGGGACGAAGCTTTAGCTGACGCAATTAACACAACGCACTCACTGCCACGAAGTTCTTCTCTGAAATCTTCGTCTAACACTAAAATGTTCTCAATATTTCTCATATCTGCAATCTTTCGCAGTCTGCCTTGAAAATAATTCATAAGTCGCCTACCTTTGGTACTGTCACTATCAGTATACAAAAACAATGAGCATTTCATTTTTGACTCGAATCTGCGCTCGGTGATACAAACGAATTTTGTAAACCTCAGTACTGTCGGATTTTTTGGATTAAATCAGTTAGGGGACTAAAACTGTACCTGCTCATGAGAATGGTCGACGAGAGAGCGAAAATATAACTTTAGTTACCATGATATATACCAGAAGAAAAGTGTGAATTACACGTGGAATTTCAGAATATCTAACTGTATGTGAAGACTTGATATTAAAAAACAATTGAAAAAACGCTCTGCGTGGTTCGACTGAAGATTCATCACGAAGTTAGCGTAATCAGAGATTTCAAACGCCCCGACACAAAAGAAGGACGCCTTAAATGGCGCTCAACTTCTTTAGTTAGGCATGAATTGTTGAAAAAATACTCACTCTGAATTTTGATACCGTTCATCGAAATATATTCTTTTCCATCTATCTCAACTCTAGTCTTCACGCATTTTTATTAAATTTGCATTTCAAGAGCTGTTTTGCTGATGATATTTGCAATACAATAGACACACTTATTGATCTTACCATCCGTAAGGCTTTACTGGAAACCACAATCATTGCCATACAGGAAATACTCCTTATGTTATCAAACTTGTTCCGTTATCCTGTGAACGGTTCTACTGAATATTACTGTCGTGAACAACAATCTTGGGCTAGGACGTCACAAATTTATCAAATAAGGAAATGTTTCGCCGCACAATTTTGTTTGTTTGTTTGTACTTTTATGTTGATATTTAATGGCTCTTTATTATCAATGTCTCTCACTCGAAATGGTATAAAAGCTATTTACATGACTATTTACATGAGTTCATACACATGAAACTGAAAGCTGGTGCCAAGTGGCTGTTTAATTTTTCAGCGGAGAGGTCAAACTTTACCTGGGAACGAGTGTTGAGTTTACTTGCTGCTCATCTTTGCTGCTTTAGCGGCTCTGCTGAGTGAAAAGGCCCTGCCTGAGGAGAAGCTAGATGTGTTAACCAAAACATGTAATACGTATACAATACTTGTAACCTAATGTGGCTGCTTTTTAACGATTTAGGAATGAGTGAAAGGGAGAAAGAGTTGAGGCACACTGAAAAAAGCAACGAACGAGGAGATAAGCATGAAATTTATCGCTGTCGTGATCACAATCAAGAAGACTTGTTGGACGATGAATTTGATGAAGATTTCTGGATCAAGGTAAGGATCGTGACGATGTGACACATGCTGAGTGGAGAGTTTTGTCAATAATGTCTGGCAATTATTTTTCGGGATCTTTTTGCCAGGAGTTGAAATTAAGAGATCCTCGCAGCTAAGAACACTACTGAAACGAGTAGTTGTAAATAGGACCTGAAAAAATTCAGGCCCGTACGGGAGGTAAATCCTGAATATTGACCTTGCTTCATAAATTTAACAAGGTTCATCAGAAGCAAAACGAAGGGTTTTCATGGAACAGAGCAATGGATGAAGTTCACGTTGAAAGACTGATTCAGAAATACAAGGGCGGTGGGGAACTTAACGGTGAGGATCCAGCGCTTTTGTTTCTAAAAAAATGGCCTGCATCCACGAAGTACATAGATAGCCCTGAGAAACTTCCTGGACTTGAACAAAAGGTATGTATGCAACGTACTCGCTTGTCTCACCAAACAGCTTAAAATTATTTAACGCATGGATTACTTTTACAATTTGTTTAATATAGATTAATCGTTTGTTGGAGATTCTGTTAGAAAGTGAACTAAACTCAGAAGACAGATACGGGGCTTTCCAGGATGAAGATGACAAAACAAGAAAGACACTGCTGCACTATGCTGCAGAACTTGGCTTTTTACATGTCACCAAAACACTTGTGAAGAAATGTCCTTTGCTGCTAGCAGTGAAGACAACAGATCAGCGAAAACCTGTGGTAAAAAGAGCCATGCTGCCAGTGGAATTGGCAATATTAGCAGAGAATGATGAAGTGACAGCATTTTTGGTTAGAGCTATGTGGTATCAAAGGTAGTCACGTTCACTATGTAAATTAACAGAGATACGTTTTTCAAATGATATAATTTAAGGGAACAGGATGTTATGTTCTTGAAGACACCAATTTCTTTTTCCTGGACAAAAGTAATTTTCAGATAAGGTTATAAAATGGATTTATTCAACATGACGACCTTTGTTTCATTATCCAAACAAAATACTGAATTATGGGTGAAGACATTTAAATCTTTAAATGTACCATATCCTTTTTTATAACTCTAATGAATGTGCTTAGCAAGGTTACTTTGTGTTAGCTGAGTAATCAGAGCAGAGGGGTATTTTACTTATTTTATGGCCATGCATGTTATTGATTAATTTCCTCTATCAATTTTAGAGCCCAGTGCCTTTTTTCCTGGAGACTGGATAAAAAGAAAAATCATAAACCATCCTTTTTCAGTTTTAAGGCAATTGTGGAGAATCCTAAAATGAAGGTGAGATTGTAAATCTACAGAATTTGGTGCACCCAAAAGTTTTTTCTTTCATTCAGGAAATGAAAATTTAAGAAAATAATTAGTTAAGAAAACTATTTATGTAAAGAGGGTAGTACTAGCACTTAATAGCCAAAAGGCCAATAAACTTGTATCCCTAAAGTACAAAAAAGTTGCAAAAAATTACCAAAAATAACTTATCAGGGTTAAGAAAACCCACTGGTGGATCTTTCAGCTGAATATGGTGGAGCTGTGCAGCTCTTGTTTCTGCCTAAGAACTTAGGGAGGGGAGGGGGAGGGCGAGCACTCCTGGGTCCCAAGCCAAACATTCTGAAGCCAGTAATAGATACCATGTGAGTATCATTATTATTTTTGTGGATATTACAAGTATCATTATTATAATTGTTATTATCAATTAAAGCCTACCCATAGATTTTCTCAGAATTCTATTGGTCATTGTACATTAGGTGGTGCAAAATTATGGGACAGTTGTTATGCAATAACCCAATGTCTATGGCAAAAATTGTGGTACTCTGATTTCCTTTGAAAAGATAGGAGGCCAGTTTAAAAAAGGCTAGTACAAGAGTTTCACTTTTTCATCTCTTATTTTCCATGGGAAAAAAATCAACCACTTTTATAAAGACCAGTGTCATAGTGACTTTAACAAGGTGATCTCAAATGCAGCTCCAGATAGTAAAAAAAAGTTATAATTACCAAAATTTCCTTCCTATGAAAGTTACTTGGAGGGTTATAGAACAAATAAACTCCTTCTGGCTTGCTGGAATGTGGGCTGATAATTAGTGTTAGCTGAAAGGTTGTCCTAAAAATTTCACATTTGTCCTCAAAGCTTTGCTCCTCAGCCATTATCAGCTGACTTACCAGGTGCCAGAAGGGGTTAATATACTCATTAATTTAAGCTATAGAGTATATCATCACATCCTAACTTGCTAAAGTCTATAAGAAATAATTTTTTAATGCATAATTGGCAGTTATTTTTATTATATGGATATAAATATGCTGATGAAGATTACTTTTTTAATTTGTTATTATTATTATTATTATTATTATTTTTTTTTTTTTTCTTTCTTGTTCTTGCAAGATGAAGCTTGGTAGTCAAGATCATATTTGATCATTGCATGAGTATGTAATGTGCATGTACAGTGGAAAGGTTTTCAATGAAACATGTTGTGATTTGTGTTGTTTACAGAAAACAGTAGTAGCAGTGTTAGATCAGATGGTGAATCCTCATTGGCCATATCTTCCCCAGCGACAAGAAAACTATGAAACTGAAGAAGAGAGGGAGGCAATTGAGGGAGTCTGGAAAACAATTACAGATGATCCATTAAACTATCATTTTTATTATCATATATTGGATGGAGACGAGGGAGGACGACCCCCAAAGATTTTGGCTTCAGATGGACACCAGCAGACAGAAAACAAATATTTTAACTGGAAAGACAAGTCTTGTTTACATGCCATTGCAAAGAGCAACAACAAAGTAAGTTTAACCCAAGAAAATACTTACAAGTAGATGCTTAGAAATTGCAGCTGAAGTAAATTGTGTAATATCACTTAAGATATTTAGAAACAGTTGATGATGCATACTACTGCAGGGGTTTGATTGTTAGATCAGTCAACCCATGCTTTGGACAGAAATCAGTTCTTGATTTTTATTTTTAGGAAGCTTTGCAACATCCTGTGGTTAGAATGTTGATTAAAAAAAAATGGAAAAGTTATGGCCACTTGTGTCTCAGGTAAATCAGTTGTATTAGCAGGCTCTATACTATAAATTTTTAGAAATAATTGCATCATATTTCTTTACATAGGTGTTGAATTATGCATTAATAAACCATAAGTACGAGGAAAAATTCATTTTTACCACTACACACATAATCAACTGGTGAAAGCACTTCCATGGAGTATGGTGCAGTCTTATTGTAGTGTTCCTTAGATCATTGTGAATGCATATATCACTGTCCGATCTAAGCCTTTGATTTCTCAAAAGTTTTTTACAAAAATATTAGACATCTATAGGTTACCAAGAACTTAATTTTTTACATCTTCATTTGAATCTCAAATCCCTTCCACTTTTCTATTTTACCTCTGCAGAGGTAAATATAATTACTTTTTTCTTTTCTGCATGTAGCATTCAAGCAGCGTTGTATTGCATCTTCTTGCTGTGTATGTCATATTCCCTGCTGCATGCCTCTACCAAACTGGACCCCACCCATTACAGTGGTGCACTGGACTCAGTGCGTGGATTTTGCGAGTTTGTCACTCTACTTATGGTTGTGTTTTACATCTGTGAGGAAATCAATCAAATAAGAATGTAAGTAATGGTGAGGTAACATCAGATTGATGAGAGCAGCAATGTGGAAACTAGTAAATATTGTTAATTATTGTTAAGAACGCACCAAGTATGCCTCGGTATTACGCTCTAGAAGAGGGCAAAAATACAGACGGAAGAGGAGCAAAAACATGGCCGCTCTGAAGCATCCAAACACCCCCTTTTTTTCGTTTTTCTTATTCACTTAAAAAAAAAACATGAACGTTTAAGCGCTTCAGATTTTTTGTTAGCCATTATAACACTTAAACGGTTCATTTGTGTTTTTTCTCGCCTTATACAATTGATACGAAGTTCACATAATTTTTTAAACCAAAAACCTGCGTAGAATGCTAGAAGAGGAGAGATTTTCACGCTAATCGTCTTATTTCTTGCAGAGAGGGGCGTTCTTATTTCACAGAGTGGATGACCTTGTTTGACTGGTTAGGAATGCTGTTGATATTGTGTATAGCACCGTTACGATACATGGATCATAAAGCACAGTGGATGGTGACATCTTTAGCCTTCTTGTTCAACTTCCTGAGAATATTTAAATTTTCATGCGTTTCAAGGTAACGCAAAACTCCCAATTGATTACTGTAGTTCGAAAAGAGCACTCATGACTGAAACCTCATCCCTTTGCTAATTAATCTAACCTAAACTTGTATCTTTCTCAGGACTACAGGATTATACACACAAACCCTGGCTAAGATCGTTTTACACGACGTCACAAGATCCATGGCAGTTTTTATTGTGATATTTTTCTCCTTCTGTGGTGCCCTGACTTTATCACTTTGTTATTCCGGATCCAAAGAAAACCAAGAACTTCGGTGCGTCTCTGTTGAGTATATCTCCTTTGCAAAGCTATGAGGTTGTTTTTGGAAAAACAATTCAGGGTATCGTTTGTTACAAGTCAATAAAATATTCGATAATTTCCTTTAGAATTTGTTTAAGTTGATCTGCTCTTTACTGGCTGGATTTTGTATTTATTCAAACTATTCTCATCCTTTCTGGCAAAAGCAATTTACTGATCGCGGGAATTTTGATGTTGAATATAGCGCGTGAGAAGAGCAAAAAAAAACCCCAACATATTAATTTTTAATTTTTTATTTTGCCTTTAGTGGTTTTGGAGAGGTCTTCATGAGCGGGTTTCGTGCACTGTCCGAGCAGTATCCCATGGTGCAAAATTACTCACCTTTCAAGTACGTGACACTGATCTTTCAAGTTATTGCTGAGCTTCACTTTGCGCCTAACGGCTGTTACGATTTGAGTTTTAAAAGCTAGCTCAGGGAAGCTAAGGTCACAAGTCATATCAGGTCTGTAATAAGGGAGCGGTGGTGTTTAGAAAGTCTCACACATTTTCCTCCAGTAGATAAGCTTAGCTTTGTGAATATTTCTTTCCTACAGCTGGCTGTCAGTTCTTCTAATGATGGCGTATATGGGAACAGTGACTGTGATTCTGCTCAACATTCTCATTGCACAGATGAGTACAACTTACACACAGGCCAAGAAAGTCGCCCGTCTGGAATATGACGTGGATCGTATTTTACAGCTCACGCGCATGGAGAGATTTCCTTTTCTGGTGAGTATCCAATAGGTATTTAGAATGAAGCCGTTAGATGATTGACGCTAGGTGTGATTGCGCAAATGTGCTGCCCGCCTCGTGCAAGTGTGAAAAATAGAGAATGGAAGGTAGAGGTCATTGATTTATTATACAAGAACCTTTCTGTCTGTAGAATTTACGCGTGAAGTATTACAAAGAGGGAGACTGGATCAGTGAAATGAAACTTGCAAAAGGTCGGTAATGAAATAAACGAGATTACTTATTAAGACAAACCATCAATCACAGGATGTTGCTAACTGAAAGCTGGAATGGCTATTGGTAAGAAGTACAAATTTAGCTTGGCTACTGAAAGGAGAAGTGTGAAAACGAAAGGAAGGGCTGCTCACGTTACAAGCCCTAGTTTTAATTAGCAAGAGCTATGTGGCTGTTTGAGCGAACAGTTTCAGCTAATAATCATTTTCCATTTCAATTCCTCTTTGGTGGGTGAGAGGGAGTCTCGTGAAGAGTACGTAAACGAAAAACAATTTTTTTTTCTGATGATATAATACGTAAAGATTTCTTTGTGTTCTCAGATGTGATCTTGGTTTTGTTTGTAGAGCTTCTGGAATTCAGTGAGGATCGCAGTCCTTGGGAGTCGGTTGAAGAGAAACTTAATGATATCAGGTATGAACAATTCCTTCAATTCCTGCCTTTTCTTACCATCAGCTTCTTCATTTACCCAGCAATGACACATTGAGCGCTTTTTATCAAGTAAAAGTAGACAGCGACAAATCGGAAGGTAAATGTTAAAAGAAAAAAATTTTAAAAATCAGTCAAAATGTCCGAAGCGCGGGAAAACAATTATGATCAAGTCTAAATCTGATTGATTAGCAAGATGAAAGGAGTTTTCAAAACCAATAAGACAACGGAGTGAAACAAAATTGACGTGTTGGATTTCCTATGCATGAGTCGTTACTTAACTTCCTTACCCACCCCGTGCTTTCACATTTGTGTATCAGCGGTTTTCTTAATTGTGATTTTCTCACTTTAGGGATCTGATGAGAAAGATGGTTAAACAGATGAGGCATGGACGCGAATAAACGGGTGTCTTTTGCTTGACGGCGATAAGAGGAATATATTGCTTCCGTTTTCTTCATAATTTTTCAACACTTGTATTTTGCACAACCTTTACCCGAAAGATAGGGCGATAGTTTTTGGGAAATTTGTATATCAGCGGGGTATCATTTTGATTTTACGTTTTTTATGGGGTTTAAATTTGGAGACTTGGCAGCACACACCCACCCGTGGCAACATACTCAAGTGCCCCCGGAGGAGAAGAACGTATAGGACTACGACTCCTAGATCGTCCTGGTTTACATTAATAGTGCTAAGAATTCACACACCTTGCCTCTTAAATATGAGCCACAGATATCAAGTATATACTCATACATCCTCTAAAACCCTGATGCGCGAAATTTACGTCACAGTTCCGACCACAAATTTTTTCTGCGAAATGTGAAGATGTTGGATCAGTTGGATTAAGATTTAGGGTCACGTGATTCCTGCTGTGGTCAAAACAGTTCACTACTTTGTCAGATATTCAGGACAGAATAAAGATGGTCCTTGAGATGGTACTAAATCGTTTCTTTTGGAAACTTTATTCAAGGAAATTACTAAGGTATTGAATCTAATTTCCTGCTCTAGATTGTTCCTGTGACCCGTTGTCAAATTAGTACGCAAAAAAATATATTGTTAACAAGCAAGTAAACGCTTGAATTTTCCACACTGATTAAAGTAATTAATCTAAGCGCTTTGTCCAGATTCATTATTAATGCTACTTTGCAGTTAGTTATAATTATGCCATGAATCACAAAATGTAACCATTTCTTCACTGTGTTACCTTTAATCCGACAGAACTATCGACGGAATAAAATCCCTGATTGCACACAATTTCAAATTGATTACAAAATTACTCGATTACTTAAAGTAGTAGTATTTAAAACAACCGTTTCACTAACATTTAACGATCGATAAAGAGCTTCCTTTACACTTTGAAGAAACGTTAATATTAGATTCCACAAATACTTCAGGCTACTGAAACAAATTGTCGCCCTCTAATTTATAAATGTCATCACGCGTACTTTTACTTACAGCCTATTCACTCCTAATATTTGTCTGATCCAGTGTTCAAGGTGGCTCAGAGCAGGATTACCCCTCTTTATTTTCTGGCCTTGCAGATGAAATATTTTTCTTGTATCAAAACCAGTTGGAATCCAATCATTCTCAGTTTGCTCCCTCAGAAAGATGATGACCAGTTTGTCCTTCACAAGTTCTGGGTTCGCTTCTAACTCTTCGTGAATCATCTTCCCGTCAAAAGTTACGAAATTACCTTTAGTCTCTTGCTGCTTGTTTTGAATGAGGGACAGAGCTTGGTGAGATGCAATCAAAACAACACAGTCACTGTCACGAAGTGCCCAACCGACGTCTCGATCCTCTGCTAAAATACCCGTTATGGTCCTCATCTCTGCTACTTTACGCAGCTTACCCTCTATATGATCTTGCAATTCTTGGGCACTGTCGCGGTCGCCTTCAGCGCAAAGAAACATAACGTACCTCATTTTTGACCAACAGATTTGAGTTGCCACGCAGTTGAAAAAGTACCGTTCTAATGTTAGTGGTATTTAAATGGCCTGAATATGATTGATTTTTAAGCTTGCACATACAAGTCTGGCTTTATTGCTAATGTGCAACAGCCTTTAAACTTTAAAACGTCTCCTGGGTCATCGCAAAGGCCGTAATATATACTACTGGTATGTGAAATGCACGTGAAGTTGACAAGAAAATGTGTCAGGCAAAAATTTCGCTGTAGTGTTTGATTAAAGGTCCCAATAGTTCCCATTACTATTTCGAGGGTTAAAAACCTGAACTAAGACGCGAAACACAGGAATTGTTTCGTGGAATGGCTGCACTTCCAACTAATGTAAAAAACATCTTTAATTACCATAATTTGTTTTCATCAGTGTGAAGTGGGACATTCTTTTTCTCTATGATAACAGAAACTATCAAAGCTACTTTGTGTACGAAATTTATTGTCCTTTTGATCAAAGACACCCACATTCAATCTATATTGTTCAATTTAGTTTCATTTCAATCTCCTGACATACGGTGAGTTCTGGCGTTTAATATTAGTCCAGTGATACTGTCCATACTTTCGGAATTCAACGATTGGCGTCGGTGAGGTTCCGAAATCTTTCTGGGCCCGACAAGTTTCCGAACACATCACACAGTGTCGTCGCGTAAGTGTGGTTGTTGAAAATCCACTATAAAATGAGCAAAGCACTCCAACAGTTGGTGGAGCACATTGATTTACGTGCTATCAACAATAAGCAAGAACCTCCTCTTGAAGGAGATCAACAAGACGATGTTTTAGGAGATGAACTGGACACGGAATTTTGGATTAAGGTGAGCTTCGTGAAATGTACTCAGAGGAAAAATTCTTATGTTAGGTATTTTCAGATATCAGAACGAACTACGTGTATGTCGGAAATAAATGTGTCTGATCCTCATCGAAAACTAAGCTTTATTTTGGGGCAGGTGAGTACCTTAGAAGCTCAAAACGCCGATTTATAAACTCGGGATGTGTTTAAGTCAAATAGCCATTAAGCTCCAGGTTAGCGATCATCTTTTACGTATAGGTCCATGAGAGGCAGAAAGAAGGGCAGATGTTATGGAACAGGGCAATGGATGAAGTTACTGTGGAAAGGCTGATCCAGAAATACAAAGATAATGGAGAACTGGACCGTGAGGATCCAGCACTGTCAATGTTAAAAGCTTGGCCAGCATCTAGAAAGTACAAAAGTAACCCTGATAAACTTCCAGGCCTTGAACAAGTGGTATATTAGTTCTATATGAAATAGCTGTCTTACATATTATTTCCTAAACGGATTTGTTGAATGGAGCTTGTATCGTATATTCAGGAATGTATCCTTGCTCTTTACCAAGAATCTAATCCTTACAGCTCTCTAAAGGAAGTATTTAAGTTTGGGAGAATTTTGTCTGGCCTTTGGTCATGCATAAATGGCTGCTTGTAAGGGTAAATGTAAGCAGTGCTGTAAACATCAAGAGATCATACAGTTTTTAATCACTATTATTATTATTATTATTGTTATTATTATTATTGTTATTATTATTGTTATTATTATTATTGTAACCATGACATTCTTTTATGAGAAATACAACCATTCAAGGCAAATGAAAACATGGAAGAGTAACAGATCCCTGAAGTAACAGCAAAATTAAGAGTGTCAGAGAACTGATTTAATAATATTATACATAGTAATCTGTTAGGTTGTTATTGTTGTTGTTGTCTTTGAGGCTTTGAACACAAATGATGTTTGGTCTTTTTGTACACCTTTGCAAGCTGTATGCCTAAAATCCCTGTTAAAATTTAACATCCAATAGGGTTCTGCAATGATTGTCAAAACATAGCAAACTACACATTTGTTTGAATAAATGACCTAATTTTGTTGTGAAAATATGGTAACTTTCTTTATCAAGTGGAATGAAGCACTTGGCATTTTCTCTTTACAGATAAATCGTTATTTGGAGATTCTTCTAGATAGTGAAATGAACTTAGACAACCAATATGAGAAGTTCAGAGACAAAGAAGACAAAATCAAGAGGATATTAATGCATTATGCGGCAGAACTTGGTTTTTTTAGATGTAGCAAAAACACTTGTAAAAAAGTGTCCTTTGTTCCTTGGTCTGAGGACAGCAGAACAAGTAGAACCTGAGAAAATCAGACGTTTGTTACCAGCTGAGGTGGCATTAGTGGCAGACAATGATGAGATGGCTGCTTACTTGATCAGAATGATGTGGCATGAAAGGTAGAGTGACATCGGTTGGAAAAAAAGGGTTAGTCTAGATGTGTTGCTACTGTCACCCTGGATGGAATGCTTCATTCCATCATGGGATGTCTTCCTTTCTCCCTTTAGTAATGTGTCTTGCTTGAGAATACAGCACCTTGATCTCCCTAGGAATTGCATCTAGACCTCTCAACCTGAGCTCAAAAATGATAATAACCATCAAGTCAGCAGTGTGGAGGGGAGAGGGGTAATAAAACAATCAGAATATAAATTCTTAAAATAACCTATTAATTAGTTTCACATAAATTTTATTCTTTAATTTTATCCCAATTCTCTTTAGTGTGCAAAGGTTATTTTCTTGGAAACCTGATGATATGAGAAAACCTCAGCCATCTTTCTTCAATTTACATTCCATTATTGAGAATCCCAAAATGAAGGTAAGAAGATACTTATAAAGACAACTAGTGCATTGATCAATTCAAAGCCACAAAGTGACTGGCATTTGATTCAAAGGCCTTCCCAGAGGTGGAGAATTTGAAGTTTGCATGGGTGGGGTGGGGTGGGGAATTTGATCCAAGTTGATCTGTGCATAACAGATTACTTGAAGGGTTAACCCTTTAGCCCCAATAGTGACCAGCATCTAATTTCTCCTAACAATATAACTGCCTGATCAAATGTACAGGTAATGAGAATGAATGCGATGATCACCAATGATGAAATGTCTTGATGTTTGAACAAATTCTCTCAATCAGTAAAATAAGAAACACATGGATAAACAGTGACAAGAATATACATGTTGATATTGGGGCTTAAAGGGTTAAGAAGATGTGTGCTGAATTGAAGTGCATTCATTATTATCTCCATGACCTTGAAGCTACTATCTTGATGTCCTTACACACAGAACATAGAGAATCAATAGAACCTTCTCGTCTGGTTCATATTGATACAAAAGATGATTGTTTATCATCACGTTTTCAGAAAACAGTAGTGGCTTTATTGGACCAAATGGTGATTCCCCATTGGCCTTATCTACCACAACGCAAAGACACCTATGACACAGATGAAGAGGAAGAAGGAATTGAAGGAGCCTGGAGTACAATTACTGATGATCCCTTGAGCTATCATTTTTATTATCACATTTTAGATGGTGGTGAAGGAGGAAGACCTCCAAAGATTATAGAGTCAGTGGAAGATAAACAGATCGATAACAAGTACTTTAGCCTCAAGGACAAATCATGCTTACACTTGATTGCAAAGAGCAAAAATATGGTAGGGTAACAAACTGATGACAAAGGTATTAATCATATTTCTCTATATTCTTGGATTTATTATAAAAGGGGGGCTGTTGCAGTCTGTTTCAAACTGCTTGTCAGACTCTAACAGTTCAATACTTAAAATAGCTAAGAAAATTAGACAACTTGTACTAGCTTGCACTGTAACAAATTTCTTACAAAAAATATTTCTTACTCTCAATTTCAGGAGGCTTTGCAGCATCCTGTGGTCAGGATGTTGATTAAAACAAAATGGAACAGTTATGGATTTGTATTTCTCTGGTAAATTTGTTTGATGATTTTATGGGGTTAAAGTAATATAACTTACAGGTCAAGGCAGACCAGAGAATGTTCTTAAAGGGGGAAAAGCTGGTATCCCATTGCAAACTATCTGAGTTGTTGATTACTTTCTCTCAGAGAGATTAAGAGCTGGGGTCAATTAGCTTCTATAAAAAAATTATGAATAAATTACTTGTTTAAATTTATGAGGTTTAATCTTTAGAACAAAAACATCAAGAGGCAATTTTTATCTCGAGGAGTAGTAAATATAAAAGAGAATTGAAAAGGCTTCACCACTTGAAACTTTCATCAGGATGATACAGTCAACATAATTATGTACGAATTTAACCTTGCTTGCTTTCCACAGCCTTCAAGCGGCATTCTATGTCATCTTCTTGCTCTTCTTGTCGTATTCTCTGATACATGGCTCAACAAGAACGGATCCCACCCAGTACAGGGGTGTGACGGATTTCTTGCGTGGATTTTGTGAGGTTGTCACTCTTGCTATGGCTGTCTTTTATATCTGTGAGGAATTCAATCAGATGAGAGTGTAAGTGACACTTGTTCTTAATCAGACGAGCGCCTCACAATTAAAAGCTCAATTTGCATTGGGAATCATTACCCCTTGGTGAAAACGGAATTTAAATCTTGTTTAAATACGTCCTGTTTTTGCAAAGTGGTTCATTTTGGCTTCAAACAGATATAAGATGATAAAACCATGCAATTGTAGATCAGTTTCTATGTCACATTTCAGCATTTTTAAGCGTTCAAACAGTACTCACAGTGACAAGATAGAATTTCCCTCTTTGTGTCTTTGTGTTTGTGTATGATTCTTGTTCTCCCTAAACGTTTCGTAAAATCTATTGTTATGCCATGTGACCAGGCCTGCCACATGATGCAGTTTGGCCATTGTTCATATAATTTGAACATTTGTCAACTGTTTTCCCTGTTGGAAATCCAATGATACTTATGAATTTAACTCTGAAGAACAAGGAAACTAGTCAACATAAACTCCTCTATTGATCGACTCTCCATTTACGGCCGTAATATTTTAAGAGTCCAGAAAGTCTGATGATAGGGTAAACGCAATAGGGAACGGCCTGGGATGAGGAAGGGAAGGGATTGGCTGGTTGAGGACCGAGCCTTTCAGCCCTGATTGGTCACACCTGAAAAAGTAAAAAGGCCACTGAATTAATCGCGTTATTATTAAGAGAGTCACATATATGAATACACAAGAACAAACTTTATTTTGTCTGATTTTTATCAGAGATGGGAGCACGTACTTCACAGATTGGATGACCCTGTTTGACCTGCAGCTGATCCTGTGTATAATACCTTTACGGTACACTCATAGCAAGTTACAGTGGATGGTGGCTTCCTTAGCCTTCCTTTTCAACTTCTTGAGGATATTTAAGTTTTCCTGCGTGACAAGGTAACCTTCGCACCCGTTGTAACCGTCGTAAAAGTAAAGACTACGGAGATAACACTTTGGAATAAGTTGCTTACATTGGTAATGAGTCAATTTTTAAATCTAACACAGATTTCAGACTTAAAGCCTAGGCGTCGGTTCTGCCGATTTTAGATTCTCATAGAGAAAACTGAGAAAATTTGAATCCAGTTTTGAGAGCTTTTTTTTAAAGTCAAATAGTTCGCGCTGCACTTTGATGAAATATCTTACCACTTTAGTAGTCAATAATGTTATTTATATACTAAATGAATACGAGAGTAATCGCAATAGTGAACTCTACTTAAGCAATAATGGAAATTAGCAGTAGTGCTTTTTACCGGTGAAGATTACTTTCGTTTTCATTTATTAATTCGCAGGTCACTTATGCGATTTTCATATCTTCGCAGTCCTTTAACATTATTTACAATCCAAAAGCAAATTGGAAGCAAACTTAGCGTAACTTTGACACACGCGAAGTTCCAATGATTCGCCCACGATTGAGCATTTACAGATGCTATTTGACACGTTACTTTCAGTTTCTCAGAATTTTAAATTGCTTTTTGTTTCTCTTTCTTTTCTGTTGATTGATTTAAATTTGCGTTTTCAAGACATCTAACCACCCTCGCATCTTTTCCAGGACTACAGGGTTATACACTAAAACCTTAGCGAAAATCATTTTACACGATGTCACCAAATCTATGACTGTTTTCGTTGTCATCTTCCTCTCCTTCTGTGGTGCAATAGCTTTATCTCTCCGTTACTCCACTGAAAACCACCACTTTAGGTGTGTATTGATCTCTCCTTCATGAAGCTTTGTTTTATTCTGGAAAAGAGTTTCTAGCAGGGGTTTTGCTCATTGGTTTGTTTAAGGAACAATGCCAGTGTTAGTTGGCAGTTTTAAGATCAAAACTATTTGGTTTGGTTGACCGAGAAATTCTCAATATTTACATTTCAAAATTACAAGGAGAATTATTTGAATCAAGGAAATTTGAGCTTCCAAAACGACATGGTCTTCATTGAGTCCCAGTTAAGTGCTGAAAAATGTATCATTTAAATTTGCGATGATTTTTGTATTTATATTTTTCTTAGCTTGGCCTACCACGTCACGAAACAATCATGTGTTCTCGTCTGCTTTCTTTAAATATATTACGCATATTATTATTTTAGGAACCTTGAAGACGTGTTTATCAGCGGATTTCGTGTACTGACCGAACAACAACCTATGGTGGTAGATTACTCAGCATTCAAGTAAGTGCGACTGACAAGGTGAAATTATTTTTAGCAATTTTGGTTATCTAGATTATTTAGTGATATCTACCACTTGGACGTTGCAATTATAAGCACAAAATATACGAACACGTCTCAACAAATCAGTTTATATTATCCGTCGTAGTTTCGAAAGAGAGCGTGGCTAATGCTGCTTCTCCAACGCTAAAAGCAATGGTAAGCTTGCCCTCACTCGTTGCACTCCAGTCAAGTAACCAGCTGAAGACCTCCTTTAACGCAGGCATCTTCTTAAGAGAGCAATATTTCTGGAGCTGGGGTTATAATCCTGAAGGAGGCTCTGTTTTGGAAAGTTTGCAATTTTTTAATCCCAGTGGTGTATCTTGCAGCTGGCTTTCAATTCTGCTGATGATGGCGTACATGGGAACAGTGACTGTGATTCTCCTCAACATTCTTATTGCACAAATGAGTACGACCTTCACTCAGGCCAAGAATGTCGCTCGTCTGGAATATGATGTGGATCGTATTTTACAGCTCACTCGCATGGAGAGATTTCCTTTTCTGGTATGAACGAATTCGTCGCTAATGAATGTGCGGCGTCTATGAGGGAGATAAAGAACCGGCAGGGGAAGGAGGAGGTTGTGAATATCTGCATTCCTCGTTTTACGTCTTTATTGTCTTATGCAGAACCTGCGGGTGAAATATTACAAAGAGGGAGATTGGATCAGTGAAATGAAACTCGCGCAAGGTAGGAGTGAAGTATTTTACGAGGACTGCTTCCAGCTGCATTGTTATCTACAGCGCTATGAGAAAATTGTTGTTGTTTTTTTTTATATTGTTTCTTATTTCTACCTTTCTGATGGTGAGGAGCTGAAGGATACCTACTTATTCAGCTAAAATGGGAAAATATACTTTGCTTTCTCATGCCTTAACAGGTATAACGTTCTTTGTGTTCTGAAATGTTATCTTGGTTTGTTTTTAGAACTTCTTGAATTTAGTGAAGATCGCAATTCTTGAGAGTCGGTGGAACAGACACTTATAGAGATAAGGCAGCAATAATGCCTTCATTGCCTCCCTTTTTCACTATCAGCTTCTTTATTAGCCCCATCCACTACACTGAGCGCATTTTGATCGAATTCTTTGAAGCCAAAACTGAAGTCTTGACAGTGACCAATCAGATAAAGGGTAATCATAGGGTAAGCTTACTTATCCCACCCCACTCTTCCATTTTTTTGTGCGTCAGCAGTTTTCTATATTGTGAGTTTCTCTCTCCAGGGACATTATGAGAAAAATGGTCAAACAGATGAGGCCAGGACGAGAATAAACGGATTTGTTGGTGTTCTTGGCGACTCAACGAGGGATATATTACTTCCGCTTTCTTTGGAATTTGTATTCACTTGTAGTTTGTACGCCACTAACGAGAAAAGAAAGAAGTTCAGGCCGAATTTCTTATCAGGCAACAAAGAAAGCGGTTATGATGACAAACAGTTCGAGAAAACTACTGTAAACACCACTCTGACACAGTTGTGGTGATGAAAGGAGATAAAAACTTAATGGGTATCACGTAGTGAATGGTAAATATAAACAAGATAAGCACCACCAGGCCTTTCGTCATGTTCATGTTCATTTGCCCATCTGAAAGGCGAGGTTGTTGTCAAGACATTTTACTTAGTCAGCTCATCATTGCAAATAATTCAGTGGCAAAGTCCATTTGCACTTATAGGCCACTCGTTTTCTATGTCAATGAATACCTTACACCATGTAATGTTGTTACAAATGTTTTAAAGATTTCCGTGTATGTCCATATTAGTAAAATATTTCGCCATTTTTTCTTTATCAAGAAACTGTATCCACAGTGAGGTATGGGGCCGTACACAAATCTTTGTTAAATTTTTTTTCTTATTCAATCACCACTTATCCATTGCGCAGATTTTTAGATTTGAAAAAGGTGTACTTTATTTGGGAAACGTTTACGCGGAACGAATAGTGAACGAATGCCACAGCATATGATGTCATAGGTGACTTTTATTAACTCCTGTTGATGGCATGTGTGATGCTTATATCTTTTGACAAGTTAAAGTCCTATCTGTAAACAATTTCTAGTTGTGCAGTAGATTATTAGCATTTTGCAATGAATCCTTACATGCTTAGAAAAAGTAATTAGTTATCCACTGTTTAGCCATTAACATTTTTTTGACGCACTTCAATTTTTTTTACTATTTTTTTTTCAAGATGTTGCACGAGTTTCATCCATTGTCTTTCATTCGGCTTGAACTGATTTCCATATCACACACCCAAGTCATTACGTATATAGTTAACTGATTGGTAGGTGAGGGGAGTGAAGTGCAAGGTTAACTGATTGGTAGGTGAGGGTCCTATCTGTAAACAATTTCTAGTTGTGCAGTAGACAATTATTTAAAAAAGCAGTGTTTTAGTTTTGCTAACTTTTACGTCATCACATATTTTTTTTTATTTCATCCATGAAGGCTTTCCATATCACACCTCAGCCATACCGTCCAGACCAAGTCCTAAAGTCCGCCAATTATGGAATATTCGAGCTGGTATAATATTCGGGACCTGCCTGGATTTTTCGCCTTTCAGTTGAAATATTCTCTTTTCATCAAAACAATCGGGGATCCAATCACTTTCCCTCCTTTCCGTCGGGTATACGATAATCAGTTTATCCACAAGTTCTTTGTTTCCTGTGAACGCGTCGTGTATAACTTTGCCGTCAAACGTGAGGAAACCATCCTCAGTTTCTTGCTTCTTGTCTTTGATAAGGGAAGAAGCCTGGCTTGTTGCAAACAGTACGACGCAGTCACTGCTGCGAAGTGCCCAGGAGAGTTTCTGTTTCTCTGCTAAAACTCCGGTGATAAGCCTTATGTCCGCTATATTTCTTAATCTGCCCTCGAAATAATCTTCGAGTCTTTCAGCCAATTCACAGTCGTATCCAGTGTAAAGGAGCATAACGTACTTCATTTTCGTTTGCAGTTTGTGCACGACGGTAAAAATGACTTGATAGCAGTTGTGCGAAGTTTGTTAGCACTCGAGAGTTTAAATTCTAGCGACACGATCGAAGGAAGCTGAATATTTCATGTAATAGATGGGCGTTTCTTACACCGAGAACAATGGGTGCCGAAAAGACACATTAACATAACATCAAGGTGTAGCCAATGTATACGTAACATTGATGAACGAGGAATGTACTCAAAAGGTTTAATGAAGTATGTGAGTTGCCATTTATTTTGATCCTGCTGGGTTTTCAAACTCATAAAAACTGATAAGCACGTAAACTCCTGCACTAATAGTGTTCTTATTATTCCATGGTGTTTAAAATTTCCCAAAACAAAAAGCAGGCACTTTCTGTAGCTGTAAACTTTCCTATGAATAATGCTATTTTCCGTCTAATTAGCACCTTGTGTCGTAACGTACCCAACTTAGAGTTTTAGGGTTGTTTTCCTTGTGATAATAGGTAGGAGTCATAAAAGGTGTTTGATGCCAGATTGCCTGGCGATCGAGGAACTACGAAACTGTTTCACTCTTTTTCGTTTACCGCAAACTTTCATATAAGGAGCAGATTAGTGCAGATTTTTTATTTCCCTTATTACTGTGAAACCGTTTGGTTCCTAAAGTGAAACATCCGTTTGGTTAGGGAAAATTTATGCTCTATTATCATAATATTGAGAAAAAAAATCGAAAGAAAGGAAAGAAAGAAACGAAGAAGGAAAGAATGAATCTTCCCTGAAACAGCTGCGGGAACCGGGTCCAGGCCCCTTCGTGGGCCTGTTGGAGTTTGAGGAGCGGTTACTTACACAATGCTTTCTCGTACTCTATGACACTTACAGGTTGGGTTAAGCTAGCTGTGACTTAATATGAAAATTGCTAGAAAAGTCGAGGAAGATTTCATTGTTAAAGACAACAATAACAAAGATGATGCTCAGCCTAAAGTTAACCGTCATCTTGAAGATATCTTGTTTAATCAACATGACGGAGAGTTCTGGATCAAGGTAATTTTTTAGGTGAATAAGAGGATGATCACATATCGATACCAACATTTCAAAAAATAAAAAAAAATAACCTTAACCTTACAGATGGCCATCCGGATATAACTATCGTTCACTTCAATTATCCTTTTCATCCTCCCTTCGGATGAAAAACTATTGCTGAAAATGTTTTCTCAGCTGTAGAGCGACAGTTTTTAATCCTAGTGACAAACTTTGAGTGAATGTACGGTTACTTTACAATGTCATGAAGGAAAGAACTAGCAATGTATTACTTTTCATAGTGAACATGTCGGTGGATCAGAGAACTGAGCCTTATAACCAATTAATTCTATCAACTCCGATTGGTAGGTTAGTCAGAAGCAGTGTAAAGGACTGTTGTGGAACAGAGCTATGGACGAGGTCCAAGTTGAACAACTGATTCAGAATTACAAGGTTAACGGAGAAATTTTAGGTGAGGACCCAGCCCTGGTGATGTTGAAAATTTGGCCAACATCCAAACAGTACAAAGATAATCCCGATAAACCACCAAGCCTTGAAAAACTGGTATGTTAATTTATTGTAATGATTAAAACGACTTGCGTTGTTTGTTTCACTATTACAGTGTGCTAGAGAAATGCTTGAGAAATGTATTGCGAGGTTCACCAGTTGGTATATCCAGAGTCATAAATTTAGGATCGATGCCATAAGATTTGTGATGCCATAAGAAATTCGTTGAATTGGACTGTTTTACAGTAAATTTTACACGTGCATATTTATGGTCATTTATGTCCGTGGTGTCTCAGCTTGAGGTAGAAACACCTATTTATCAACTCCATGGGAGGGAAAGTGGACTTCTGCTCTCAGATTACCAAGGAAATCATTGTAATTCATAAATAAAGAGAGTACCGATTGAACTTGTTATTGTTTTATTAATTTTTATGTTTAGTAATACTTTTTTGTAAGTACAACACATTGATGAACTATTCAATGGATCCTTGCTAATTTGAAACCAAGATCTAGAAAAATGTGCATGTCACATTGCAGATAAACAGGTTCCTAAACATTTTGTTAGAGAGTGAACTGAACTTCGGTAATAGATATGACACATTCAGAGATGTGAACGACAAGGCGAAGACGACTTTGCTACATTATGCTGCAGAACTTGGATTTTTACAAGTCACCAAAACACTTGTGAAGAGATGTCCATCATTGCTATCCATGAAAACAAAACGACCTAGGTCAACAAGAGCCATGTTTCCAGTTGAAATGGCTTTATTGGCTGAGAAAGATGAGGTGGCAGCATTTCTCGTTAGAATGATGTGGCATGAAAGGTATAGATAAAATGTATTACATGGATTCATCAAATGATAGAGGGCTTGATTTGAAGAATTTTTTATCAATGATACTTTTTAACTATAGTCTGATCTAAGATATTGGCCTGTATATTTTTATAGAGGTTGTGACTCTAAATGTCATCTGAGTGAATAATTTGGTTCGAATTGTATTGATTGTGATAACAGATTTGTCTAGTAGCAACTCATGAAAGTTATATTTTTCTTTGGATTTATGTCTATAAGTAGTTAATACATCTTCAACAATTGGAGAGACTCCCTAATTCTTCTCTTATTGGCCTCCAGCCAAAGTAGCTTTATAAAAAGACACTTGAAAAGGCCTGTGAAGGCAAAAAAATACCTCAAATGAGTTGATCAACTTTCATTTAACTTTATTGAGATATTCATACCAAGATGTAATTTAGATCTGCAATTTTCAGACCATTGCTCATAACCTTCATAGATTCTGTTAATCTCACTTCAACATTATTAACCATGAACATGTAGTGTGGTCTTCTTGTGATCAGATCAAAAAAATCTGCTGGAAATAATTATGTTGCATGAGAAAATCTGTTTAAACTTTAATTCCAGAGTCCAAAGTTTGTTTTCATGGAGACCAGGTGATATGACAGAACCTCAACCATCTTTCTTCAGTTTTAAGTTTATCATTGAAAATCCTAAAATGAAGGTGGGAAATTTATATTTTTTGCATTAATAGGAAACATAGGTTAGAATAATTCCCTGTTGAAAAGGTGGTGCTATATCTGTGATAGAAAAGATTTATGGTCGGTATGTTACAGGTAAACATTCAAAATCACACATTTGTCAAATGTGCAGGGCTGCTAATGTAAGGAGGACTTTGTGGCAAGTTACAACATCAACAACATGGGCCAACATCTGGCCATCATTTGCAGGGCTGCTAATGTAAGGAGGACTTTGTGGCAAGTTAAAAAAACTTTTCCTTTAGAGACTAATGAAAACTGCTAAGGCTTTCAGGTAGATGGCTGATAAAGGAAGTGGGGGAGAGAGAGACTTATTGGAGATTTATCAGAGAAAATTCCAATAGAGAGGGGGGTGGATGTATAACAATTTTTGAATTCATTGTTCTATATACATGCAATGTTTAAATTTTAGGATTATCTTGTATTCTTTGTTTCTGTGTGGTATATATCTTCTGAGCAGAAAACGACCTTGGCTCTGCTAGATCAGATGGTGAATCCTCATTGGCCACATCTTCCAAAACGTAAGGAAAGTTACAAAAATGAACACGAGAAAGAAGGAATTGAAGGAGCTTGGAGGACAATCACAGATGATCCTGTAGATTATCACTTTTATTATCATATCTTGGATGGTGATGAGGGAGGACGGTCCCCAAAGCTTACAACCCTTGATGAAGAAAAGCAAACAAACAACAAACATTTCAACTGGAGAGACAGGTCTTGTTTACATTTGATTGCAAAGAGCAAAAACAAGGTAAAGTTACAAACTTGTAAATCTACTCTCTTGCCTACTCTTGGTATTAGATTATGAGAAATGGTGACAGAGTTGACAGCAACCATGTTAAATTTTCATTTTGATCTGTAATGTATTGAAACTTTTACAAAAATATGAGCATGGCATAATCAAAAATAAAATATGAATATCAAAAATTGTCTTTTTGCTGTACTTGTATCATATTTTACATTTGTTCTTTAAAAAATACTGCCTGATTTTCATTTTTAGGAGGCCTTACAACATCCTTTGGTTAGAATGTTGGTGAAAACAAAATGGAAAAGTTATGGACACTCTTTTCTGAGGTATACTTTGTACATGTTTGTATAGAGAGATGAACACTTAGAAATTAAACTAAACAAAGGGGAAACATTGAGGGAGATGCGTCCACTGAAACAGAAAAGTTATAACAACAATGAACCAAGTCAAATCAAATAATGGCATAATTTACTATCACCAACTTTTCCCAAATTTTTTCCACAGCCTTCAAACAGCATTTTATGTGATCTTCTTGCTGTGTTTGTCATATCCTCTGCTGAGGGCTTCCACAACAGTAGACCCCACCCAATATGGGGGGGAAGCTGATTCACTGCGTGGATTTTGTGAGATTTTCACCCTAATTATGGTGGTCTTTTACATATGTGAAGAAATTAATCAAATGAGATTGTAAGTATGCAATTCTAGTGGGTGTAAAATCAGGTTAGAACACCATTTTTTTTCAAAGCTCAGGACATTTTACCATTTGCAAGTGTAAAAGTAAGTTTATTTAGATCAGGGAAGACTTGGTAGTAGTTTAGAGGTGGAATTAATTAGTACACAACCAACTTTGAGCATTTGCCCTTTGTCAGATTGAGTAGAGTAATTGTTGGTGATGTGTGGTTTAAGTACAGGAAATTGATTAGAACATGGTGAGGTTAAAAACATAAGAATGAATCAATTGAATGAAAAGTGTTTTGCAAACCTTTAATCTGTCTGATTTCGCTTAGAGAGGGGAAGTCGTACTTCACAGAATGGATGACCCTGTTTGACTGGTCAGGCCTGTTGCTGATCCTGTGTATAATACCCTTACGGTACACGCAAATTAAAGCCCAGTGGCTTGTGGCATCTTTAGCTTTCTTGTTAAACTTCCTGAGGATCTTTAAGTTTTCTTGCTTGACAAGGTAAAATGCATCATAAGCTACGTTTGATAGGTTTGAGAGAATGTCAGCAAATTAGAACAAGAAAATAATATCTGTGAAACTTACTCACACAGTTGGATTAGGTTTGGATTTTGGTTAACAAGCCTAATTTATAATTAGTGCAACCCCACCATCTTGGCACCTTCATGATGGAAATTTGAAAGTTTTTAAAACGTCTCAACGAAAAAAGGTATAGAATAGAAAGATTAAAAAAAGCGTCCTAGGAGAGGAGACAGACGGGAGTAATGAAATTAAAAGAATAAAGAAGATGGGCAATTTGTTTAAACAGCCAAATGCTTTCCATGGAGACGACGCATGGCAACGTATCCACCTCACCTGAAATTTTATTAGAAGACTGTTGAAAGCTGTTATATTCTTATTTAGTATAATTCGAACATCATTATGTATCACATAACTTGTGTCCTTAATGTAATAGAACCGTGTATATTTTTTTCCAGGACAACCGGATTATACACAAAAACCTTGGCTAAGATCATTTTGCACGATGTGACAAGATCCATCGCGGTTTTTATTGTTATCTTCTTCTCCTTCTGTGGTGCTTTGTCTTTATCGCTCTGTTACTCCGATGAAAACCAACAGTTTAGGTATGTCTTAATCTTGCTTGCTTAAATGCTACTGAATAAATGTGTTGAATTATTTGGTTGGCTGATGTTTACTCTGCACTATCTGCGAATTTTAGTTGGATGAAATGTATATGATAACACCTGAAGTGATATGAAATTTCTGTTAATGTGTTGCAGATCAGTCTATGTGTTACAGTCCATGCTAAATTCTTTTTTTTTTTTTACATTAGTGACTTCGGAGATGTGTTATTGAGTGGCTTTCGCGCGCTCTCTGAACAAAGACCAATTGCTTACGATTATTCAAATTTCAAGTGAGTTGATTTTTCTCTAAAAGGTCGAATATGTTTTGACTCCGTTTACTTGTTCAGATCTCTTTACCTTAAGATGAGTTTATTACCACTAAGATAATAGGTGAAACTAACTACGTAAGAGCATTTGATTTATTCCTTGCAGCTGGCTCTCCATTCTGTTAATGATGGCCTACATGGGGATCGTGATAGTGATTCTACTCAACATTCTCATTGCACAAATGAGTACGACCTACACACAGGCCAAGAAAGTCGCCCGTCTGGAATATGATGTGGATCGTATTCTACAACTCACACGCATGGAGAGATTTCCTTTTCTAGTAAATGAACATTCTTCGCTAATGGAATTGTAGCATTTTATCATTAAGCGTGCACCGGTGTTCGTGATTGACGCTAAGTGGCAGCGTGCATTAGCGCCATACGTGACTGTGAGCGTGAGGAGAAGAACGTACCGTTAGGGTAGGAGGGGGCTTAGGTATAGTTGTATTCTTCTGCAATTGAGGGGTGGCCTCATAGACTTAATTACTTTTACATCTTTTCTTTGTGCAGAATCTGCGCGTGAAGTATTACAAAGAGGGAGACTGGATCAGTGAAATGAAACTCGTCCAAGGTCTGCGTGAAGTATTTAACCAGGACTACTTTCACAATAATTTTTATGCGTAGTAATCTGGAAAAACATTTTTTTTTTAGTCTTGTATCCTATTTGTACTTCTCTGAACGAAGGGAGATGAAGAAGACCTTCGGCTAAGTTGATACTCAGTTATAATAAAAAAGGAGTAATCTTTCTCATGCCTTAACAGCTGTAAGGTTCTTTATCTTCCTAAATGTGATCTTGGTTTGTTTGTAGATCTTCTTGAATTCAGTGAAGATCGCAGCCCTTGGGAGTCGGTGGAAGAGAGACTTGCTGCGATTCGGTAACAATTAATTGCTTTATCTTATTTCCTATCTTTCCTGCTATCGGCCTAATTTTTGAACTCGTTCTCTCATTACTGGACTTTCGAAAAGATCGACTTCCTTGTACTCATCCTTCTTTGTTTCAGCAGTCATGTTTCACACCTTCTGTTTTATTTTCTTGTACAGGGATATGATGAGGAAGATGGTGAAACAGATGAGGCCTGGAATCAGATGAATGGAGCTTTGTGTGCCCCAGTCCCCTTTTTATGCACCGATTTCTTTAGTCATTTAACTGGTAATTTTTATACAACAACGTTGACGCCATGAGACTGGTTGAAGGCTCTAAGCCTTATCTGCCTCTTTTCTTATTTGTTTTCTGTGGTATATTCGTAAGAAAACAAAAGAAAGGCTAATGAAAACAAAATGAGTGGACGTAAAGGGGCCAGTCAGTTCTAAAAGCCAAGTGTAGTATAACATGCGTTTAAGCAAGTCAATTGGTCGTAAATAAACGTTTAGTACACACAAAAAATAAAACACCACTGAGCTTTCCTAAAACTGTTTGAAAAGCTTCATTTTGTATCCGACACTCTTGACAGTAAACTTGAGTGTGATTAACATTGTATGCTTACGAAAAAATGAAGGTCAGCTTTGAGAGAGTTAGCTTATAGAAATAACTAGTTTTTGCTTTGTTTTATATAACCACAAGACTTCTCCCACAGAATTATTTATGAAATGTGAGGTTAATTAGGAGATATTTAGTTTATACAGAGTTCTTTTAGTTATCATTTTACCACGGATACTTTTATTGAAGAGTTTAGCGTACAATGAATGAAAATAAACTAAAATCAACAGGGACTATTGTGGGAAAGACTTCTTTGGGTTTCGTTTCAAATAGAAGATTTATCAGTAGCATTTTGCAAATTTGTTACGTTGTCCTACTGACTTCAAAAACTGAAATGAAGAGCTTCATCGTAATCTTAGTGGTGTTTATGTATGCAGTAGGAAGTCAAGTGAAAGGTCCTGAGTTGTAAAATTGGAATACGTGACTTGCACAGACACCCTCTCAATACATTACCATTAAAAAAAAGCTTCTGGTGTAATCAACGTTAAAGGTCTCGGTTCATGTTAGGACTTGTTGTGAAAAAACAAAACAAAACCAAAAAAAAGACAATTAAAACAAGTTAACAAACACTACGTCGATAGTAGGTCAAGAGGTTGTCAGTCTACGGCACTAGAGAAAAAGAATTGAAATCACTCGGGGAGAATGAATCATCTGTCGCACACATGAAAGCTTGGTCCAATATACCAGAAAACATATAATCCGCAATGAGTAGCGAAGCCTCAGCGGGCTCTACTTTCGAATTTTGGCTAAACAATTATATTTATCTCCCGTTCTCCCCCATCTTAATATTGCCTGGTGTTGAAATAAGTTACTTAATTTTTGCAACACTTTTTTAGGGGAAAAAAGGGACTTTTAAGTCACTTATCAGACATGGATTACAAGATTTCTGTTAATTATGTTTAATGCATAGAGGATTGTTGACTACCCACTTAAGGGAGACGTTCCAACTGCTTTTGCCACTCAATGTAGCTTAGCCAATCGCCTCAGTATTGAGGCCGTAGATTCTTTTGATTGAACTTACTAGTGCAATAGGATTATTTCAAAGGGGCTCAATAGTTATCCATGAGCAAATAGGCTTAACAGTCTTTTTAAAAAACTTTGCACCTGTCGAATGATCGTTTCATTTCCAATTTTACTGCGATGCGAAACGTAAAAGAATCAGCCTTGTTAGGTTTATCATTCTCTTCTGGGGCTTTAAGTAAAGCTGAGGTCCTACTATCCATCTATTTTTGTGAAATTTTGATTTTATATTGCATATTTTTACCTATATCAACATTAGCCTAATAAGTAGCCACCTGATTTAGACACGCATAGCTCTATTCGCTATTTAACTTCTGTATTTAACTAGAGATCATATTCAGAAAAAAGTCTATACCCGGGAAGGAGTATTTGAATTGTTTTTGGCGTTTTGAAATTCCAGAGAGTTGTTTATCAAGGAGAAATACATTCCCTTCAATGGTTTCAATAAATGCAAGGCACTTTCACGGGCAAAAGATATGAAGTTTGTCATACACACTGAGATGGATCGCTCGCGCATTTTAAATAAGTAATTGGTACTGAACTAAGGCCTAACTGGAAAAAATTATCAGTGAAGTGAGTTTTAACGAGTATTGGGTTAGCAGTTACCGTGAGGAAGCCACCCTATATTGCCATATGATAACAATAAACAAATCTAACAGATGAGGAAAAACAAACGGAAACATTTCAAAAAAAGAAGACATGCTCCCCTTCTTTGGCTGGAGGACTACAATATAAACCAATTTATTTATCAACAGTCAACATTCTCCTTCTCATCACAGCATTTCATGGCAATTTTCTTATCCTTGTTGCCCTTCACAGGGAATCTTCCCTTCATCCGCCGTCCAAACACTTGTATCGTTGTCTGGCAACAACTGATCTGTTGTTGGTCTTGTTAGCCAGCCAATGCTGTTTATTGGATGCTCGTGGTTCACAAACGATACCCAAGGGACACAGCCTACATAACAAGCTATGCATTATGTGTAGCTCTGTGATGACGATAGCGGCCATAAGCTTGGACAGACTTCTCGCCCTGTTGTTGTGGCTTTGAAGCGCACATATATTTAGGTTTTATCTGATGCCACTGTCTTAAGCTTCATTTTAAATTACACTTGGTATACTCACGTAACCAGGCCATCTTACTTATCGATATCAATCACTTCGTACACAAAGATTTTTGGCGCCCTTAGTCATCACATATATTGTTTGAACTGCCTTTTGGATTGCAGCAGCTGTTGCTGCTCTATGTATCATTTTTGATCGCCGTATAACCTTTTTTATGACATTCTAATTATACCATCTTGTCTGGTTTTAACTCGCCTCGTACGCAAAGATCTTTCACACTCTCGGTCGTCATGACGTTTGAGTACGAAATCATGTTAAACGTCAGCGAAGCCAACTAATCGCACCGAACGCGAGTGTAGTTATGTTTTATTGTTTGTTCTGTGCCATATGGTGTTATGGAAATTGTTACCAGCTCTAACAAAATGTATTCATCACATGTAGCTATCTTTTGGGAAATAGCAGTTTCCATAGTTTACTTTAACTCAACGTCAAACCCGTTGAAGTAAGACAAACACTGAAGCAGACGATCAGACAAGCTCTCTGCCGCCCATGGACTTAAATCCCGCTTGAGTTTCAATGACCGTTGCTTTACAAAGTTACGGTTATCATTAGATATTCGATTTCATTAGCATGCAAACTGTTGTTGATATGATCTATTTCCATATGAAAGACAACGAACGATAACCTTAAACATCCCAAGCACATCATTGTTGAAGTGAAGACACTTATCCTCGATACAACAAAAGATGAATAAGGAGAAAAGCCTCTTGCACGTATGGTCTAGAAACAATTGCTTGAGTGATATCAATCCTCACCGAACGTTAACCAAGTAAAGAGGGTTTTTCTTTGCCATACTATTCCAAAAATGATGATAACAGAATTGTTCAAGTGAAGACACTTATCTTCGATACAACAAAAGATGAATAAGAAGAAAAGTCTCTTGCATGCATGGTCTAGAAACAATTGTTTAAGTGATACCAATCCTCAATGAACGTTAACCGAGTAAAGAGGGTTTTCTTTATCATACTATTCAAAGATGATGGTAACGGATGTCTTCAAGCTTGCCTCTCAAGTCTTATTGATACCTGAGGCATATGGAAAATTCGTGGAACAAATTTACCTTTTTGACACCCCACACGGTGTATTTGTGTATTTCAGCTAGACAGGTGCTTTTAAGAACAAAAATCTCTCGATCGTTACAATAACAAGTAACCGTAAGGGAAAACGTACATCGTTTGCAGAATGATGGCGGCAGCAAATTCAACGGGAGATGGAACACAGATGAAAACATTTGAAGAACTTGTATGTTCCTCTTCTTCGGAGGGCGAATTGCGACAGTACTCCTTGCGTCTGTCAGCAGTCATCATTTTCTTTTCCCTTACAGCATTTCTTGGGAATGCCCTGATTGTCGTTGCACTTCACAAGGTGGCTTCCCTCCATCCGCCGTCCAAACTCCTGTACCGTTGTCTGGCAACGAGTGATCTGTTGGTTGGTCTTATAGGCCAGCCTCTCACTGCTACTCTTTGGATGTCGGTTGTTTTCGAACAGTGGAGACTTTGTCGATTTGCATGGGTAGCAGCCTCCATTTCAGGGTATGGATTATCTTTTATATCTTTGTTGACACTGGCAGCCATGAGCGTGGACAGACTTCTCGCCCTGTTGTTGGGGCTGAGATATAGACAAATTGTAACTTTGAAGCGCACATATATTATCGTCGTTGCTCTTTGGATTGTAACCGTTGTCGCTACTCTATGCGAGGCGTTAGGCTCTCATATAGCGCCCTGGTTCGGTCGAATTGTCATCCCATGTTGCCTATTAATCTCGATTGCTTCATATGCAAAGATTTTCCACGTTCTTAGTCATCGTCAAGCTCAAGTACAACATCATGTTCAACAACAGCCGACCCAACCAAATGCACTGAACATGGCGCGATACAAAAAGGCAGTGTACAGTGCACTGTGGGTGCAGTTAGTGTTACTTGCTTGTTATGTGCCTGTGAGTTTAGTGGGAATTGTGATGGCTCATAGAAAAGGAAATTCATCGCATTTAGTCGTCGCTCTTGGAATAGCGAATACTCTGGTTTATTTTAACTCGACTTTAAATCCGTTTCTTTACTGCTGGAAGATTAGTGAAGTAAGAAGAGCAGTTAAGCAGAAAATAAGACAAGTGCTTTGCTGTCCACTGGGTTAGATCTTCCATTATACTCTTTTTTAGTTGTTTCAAGCGAGTATGTGTGACGATGCTATTAGGTAACGCATCCTGTCGGATATGTCATTTCATCATAACCATTATAATTTCCTCAAATGTGATTGGTGCATTAACTGCTTTATTTTTTGCTAATCATTCTGTAGAGCTGTAATCGGACAATGTAATCGGACAGTTGGCTGTAGTCGGACACCTGTGATCGGGCAGTTGAAGTAGTCAATCACACTAAGTCAACTCATCCAAATCCACCAATCACAGAATTAAACACAATAACCATAGCAACAGCCACTTATCCTAAAAAAAGAAATTGGGAATTTTCACAATGA